ATGGTCAAGGGGCGACCTTCTAAGAAGAAGCGCCTGCGCCTCTTGGGAGCTCCACTCCTTCGTGCAAGAAGGCACTGTGCCTCAAGGGCTCCACTGAGAAGGCCACCCCATACGCTCCCAGAAGCGTGCCGCCCCAGACCCTGCCCCCCTGGTGCCCGCCGGCGCCGCGAGGGGCAGGCAAGGGTGGAGCACCAAGATAGCCGACGTTGTGAAAGAACCAAGCCGACTGTCAGACGAAGCCAGGACGAGGATAAAATCGTGTGAAGACACAACGAGAATCTCTGAGATCTGGCGGCTCTGGTGGATGCCTCGAGCGCCGCGGCCTTCTCAGAGCGATCCGGAACGCTCTGAGAGCGTTCCGGACCCCCCTGTAACGGATTAATCCTCGTCTTAGTCCCGACCGAAACAAGGCCGATTTCTGCTCATACTTTTCTGCGGATGGATTCCGCGTTTGGACCCTTGGGCTATCATCAAACATTATCAGCGACGATAGCCCTGTGCCTGGGAGGTGGCCAAGAGGTCTAGAGACCCCGCGTTGAAAAGACAAGTCCTCGATGAGGCAGCGTCGTGACCGAAGGCGCCGACTTGCGTAGACAATTACGCAGGATTGGCGATTTCACCGTCGTCGCCGCCACAAACCGCTGTGGCTCGTCGTCCCTCAACAAATCGGCGGTCCCCGAACGGGCGGAAACAACAAAGAAATTGGCTGCCGTCTCCGTCGCCGTCCAGCCCAAGTCGGCTCGAAACCAGCCAAAGTCCGTCGCCGTCCAGCCCAAGTTCGTCTGATCCGCGCCCAGCCGTGGCAACGACAACCTCCAGAAAAGCCGGAAAAACTCCGAAGCGCAGGCGTCGGCGTCTTCCTGCGCCTCTTAGCGGAACAGGCTATGACACAAACATGAACTTTCGGAGGTCCGCGCGGACTTCTCGGATCGGCGCTTGGGCCCACCTGGCCGCGCCTCGGGCGCCACCCCTGGCGCGCTCCGCGCGCCAAGAAAAGGGGGGTCCAGCGCCGATCCGAGATATCCGCGCGGACCCCCGAAAATTCATGTTTGTCTCATTGCCCGTCGGCCCCTGAGTGGCCCTCGCCGCTCCCCCCCTCTGCGGCCGCCCGTTCTGTCCCAATTTTTCCCCCTTTCGTGCATGCCGGCCAATTCGCTTCAACGGCGCCCCCGTTTAGCTCACGCATCGCCAGCGCAGGCGACCCCTGCCCCTGCCTCGCCGCCGACGAAAAAAGTGTGTGGCATTGCCCCTTCTCCTGCAAAGGACGCCGACGTCTGCGCTCCGGAGGCTATCGGGCTCTCCTGGAGGTCGTCGCTGCCGCGGCTCGGCGCGGGCCGCCGCCGCTCACCGTCGACGGGGCGCCGCGCGCCCTGCTCCTGCCGCAGCTGGGCGAGGGCCGAGAGGGCTGCCATCGTGCCTAGGGCGGCGGGCACGCGGAGTGCGTCGGGGTGGCCGGAGGCTCAGAGGCGGAACGCGGGCGAGCGCCCACGAAAGAAGCCCATCGGGGAAGGACAGCGGGGGGCGTGGGCGAGCGAGCGAGCGAGCGTCCATCCGGCCCCACTGGTCAGAGGGCCGCGCCCGTTTGCGCGGGGACGTGTCGGGTCGTAGCCACCGTGAAGAAAATGTGAAACCATGTGCACGTGCTCCCACTTCGCATTCACGTATTGGATCTCCACACTCTGCCATGTCGCACTTTGCGTCACACTCTTGAGCCAAGTGGTACCGTTAATGTCGCCATGTCCTCTCTGTTGATTGCCCGGCATGGTGTCGTCTCACACACATGCTTGCCCAGAAACGTCCAAATCTCGTCGTCCCACCATTTCTGTTGACCAGCATGATTGCGATCAATTGCTTTGCTTGCCGTGCGGCTGGGGTGCCACTGCAGCGCTCTTTGTGTCCATCTTGTCTCGGGGTGTGCTGCCACCTGCGCCGCGAGCCTCCAGTGTAACCGGCGCTGCCCTGTCACCGAATCATTCCTTGACATTGTGCAGCCGCATGAGATGTTCTGCACGATGTGTCGACAGTCGAATGGAATCGACCCAAATCTTCTCACTGTCCGCGTCGCTGTCGCTATCGGCGTCGCTTGGTGGGGGGGCTCCGGGTGGTGGCGGTGGATTGCTTTCGATTTCAGAGTCGTCGGTCGTGCTCGATGTCTGAGTCGTCGGTCTACAGCGGGGGCGTGGGAGGCAAAGGGAGGAAAATTCCGCGCAGCGCCCAATCCAGAACCCTGCTGATTGTTCTGTCTGTTTCGCGCGGATCGCCCCAACAAGCGCAGAGGAAGTTCGAAGCATTGGACAACTGCTGGGATATCTGCGCCAGCCATCTTGGTGGCTATTACGAACCGACGCTCATCGAAGCTAGTCAAGACTCAGAGGAGAAATACGCACGACCACCACCGCGAACATATCGGACAAGACCAGTCCACATCGAATCTGGCAATCGGATCGAAACGAAGTGTGCGTCGGATCGTGCTGCTTCGGCGCAGAATTAAGATCGAATCGGACAGGCTGCGCCAAGATACACAGAAACGCCATTCAAGCGTCGGGGCGAATCGGATCGTCGGGGACCTCTTTATGGGTGGGCGACTTTTTTGAGGCGGAGGGAGGAGGGCGGTCAACAATCAAGAGGCTCCAATTGTGCTGCCATGTGTCTGTTGCTGGCCTGGGCGGGCAAATCCTGCCCCCTGGACAGACGAGCGCTAACTCAAGGCGCTGCCCGTGACAATGATTGCCCAGGAGAGTGGCCGATCGGGGAGGGACCGACCCCTGGGCGGCGGCACGCCTGAGCAACGTCCTGTGTTGGGTGACGCTCGGGCGTGCCACGGCCCAGGGGTCGGCCCCCCACCGACGGATTCTCGGTGGCGGTAGGGGAGAATGGAGAGGGGAAGGAACAAGGAGGGTGGAGAAGATTGGGGGCTGAAGAGAAACTTAGCAGGCGGAGGGGTACGGAAGGAGGCGAGGGGGACAGAGGAGAAGGATATCGAAAACGGTATGGGGGATCGGGAGGGGGTGGAGGCAGATCGGGGGAAGGTGAGAAAATGACAACGACGACCATCACCACCACCACCACACCACTCTCCCAAGATCACAGCAACGACCACGGCAACCGCGAAACATCCACAATCACAGCCAGGACCACGAATGCGGCGACGGCGATGAGAACAGCGACGAGCGAAACAAGCACTACGTATCAGGACCACCACCACCACCACAACCACCGCGACCACGAGGACCACGACGGCGGCGACGACGCCGAGGACAGCGGCGGCGACAACCACGACAACGACCACCACCACCACGACTGCGAGGACGACGAGGGCGGCGACGACGACGGCCAACACGACCGCAGCCAGGACTACGTAGGCGACGGCTTCGACGTGCTCTGCCGCCTCTCTGGCCAACCGCCAACACGTCCAGAGGGCGCTCGTGCTGCCCGCTGGCGCGGGCCTCGCCGCCCAACCCACCCAGCCAGTGGCTGCTGCGACCACGACGACGACGATCGCCACGACGATGACAACGACGCCGCCGCTGCCGACGCCGACGCCGACGCCGACGCCGCCGACGCCGCCACCGACGACGACGACGACGACGACGATATCTTCGTCGTATGTCGTCGTCGGTGCGGATGCCGTCGGGCCTTTGTGGAGGCTCTCGTCGCCGCTGGCGCGGCTCAAGAGGCCAGTCAGGGACGGACCCGGCGCTAGGGAGCCGACCCGGGTAGAGAGGTGTTAGCCTGTTCTGCGTTTTGCCATGTATTTCGGCCAGAAGCCGCGGAGGCCCCCCCAAACCAGGCCATTTAAGATCGCAACGCATCGCAGACGCAACGGCGAAGCGTCGGCGACGTCGGGGTTGGAAAAATCAGGATCCAAATCGCGACGCATCGACGGTGCATCGGCGATGCAGCGACATCCTCCGACCATATCTGCCCTGGTCCCAATCTATGGAGGAACAAAAAAAATAATCTGTCGGAGATCCGCGCGGATTTCTCGGATCTGCGCTGAACCCCCGTCCCCGGCGCGCGGAGCGCGCCAGGGACGGCGCCGGAGGCACCGCCAGGGGAGCGCCGATTCAAGAAATGGTCCGCGCCTAGCTCCAAAAGTGCATGTGTAAACTTCAGAACCACACATCGATCCCCCGTGTTACCGCTAGCGCAAAAGAGAGACAATCAGTCCTGGACAAGTAAAAACCGGGAGCTGCATCGTTAGCACACGAACTGTTCATGCATTTCCACAAGAAAAGGGGAGGGGGAGCACCGACATCTCAAGAGTCGTCGGGGTTCCTTCGGGGAGCATGCCACGAATCCTCAGGTATCTCCAGGAATCATGTGATATTGCTGCGGAAATTTCAAAAAACATTAGATATCTGAGGTGGCCCATAGGGGGCTGCGAGGAAGCCTAAAGGAAGTTATATAGTGTATATATATATAGACATATATTTATATATAACGATAATACTCCAGGAACCCGCAACAAACCTGCAGGAATCCCCAGGAGTCCTTCGGGAACCTCACACGGATCCCCAGAACGTGCAAAATATGAAAGCATACCGTGGGGATCTTGGGGACTCCGATGGTCCCATGAAATCCCGGAATCCTCAAGGGATCTCTACGTATCTTTCAGCAGAGAGCAGAAACCCGCAGGAACCCCAAGGAACCCTTGGGAATCCGATCGCAACCACCGAAAAGAAATAATTCGTTCTTGGGGGGATGAACCGGATGTCCAAGAATTCTCACGAATCCGTCGGGAACCGGCAAGAAAACACTAATATTTCGGGAAAAATTCGAAAGCAGGCAGGCGTCAACCCAGTCAATAACCGTACTGCAGCGAACAAGAACTACTTCAGAACTCCTTCGGGACTCACGTATCCTCCAGGGATCGCCAGACATGTCTTTTCACCCGAAATCCACACGGGATACAGCACAAACCCGAACGAAAATTTCAAGCATCCTGCATGAGTCCTCGCGAACAATTTTCGAAAATCGTTACAAGACTCTCGACAATCTTCCGACAACCGCAACAGAAAACTTCATGGACCCCATCAACCCTGCAAGAGCATGCACAAAATCCTTCAAGAACCTTGGCACGTCCACTGGGACTTCGTCCAGCATCCCTAGGAATCTCTCAGGCAACCTCAAGAATCTTCAGGAAATCACAGGAGCACAAAGCACCTCTCAGGAATCCCTTTTTTAAAAACATGTTATCAACTATCCAGGGAAGACTTCGGGAAACGGCGCGGATGTTCCCAATATCCGTCTGGAATCATCAGCGCAACGCGACCGCGCAGATCACGTCCTCTCATCCGTCTCCTTTAGTATTCCCTTCCTGGGCTAACGATATGCCCCTAGCTGGACGGCCAACCTCTTTAGTTACTTATGGATGGGGAGGGAAAACACGGGCGAAGAGGACAAACGAGGATACAATAATGGCCCACGAACTGTGAAACATCGATATGGGCCAATCGAACATGGCACGGGCATGGAAAACCAAGTGAGATGACAGCGGGGAAAAACCTGGATGAAAAAACACGCAAAGTATATACCATTATTTTTCGCGTCTGGTGCTCAAACGAGACTGTCGCGTCTCGTCGGACCACGCGCGCAAACCGTGCATGGAACCGACGAAAGAATAGCAAACTACAAAGAGAGGAGTTTCTGCTGACCGCGCCGCTCATAACAATTTAGCGACCAGCAACCGACAAATTGATGGAGCACGGTCTCGTTCACTGGCATACTCAACTTTCATGCCTGGCGCTCCACGAAAATCCACGAACATAGTTCGTGGAAACATCCCCTGCGCCACTACGTCGCGATCGCAAGCATTCATAGCTCGCGAACTGCAATCGTCTGCGCCATCGCCTGCTACCGTTGGGGCCGCGAGCTGCGATGGCACAGTCGTTGCGAACCCAGGCCGTCTGTGCATGTGATGTTGGACGAACCAGTGACTTCATCATGCTGGTCGCTGGTGCGACCGCCATGCTGGTAGCAAAGCATGAGCTTCCTGCGCCGCTCCTCGCTCAGCCTGACGGTGCCGCGGTCGTAGCTGAGCTGGCCTGTCCTGATATCCAGTCTCAATTATCGGCCGATGTCCCCCTTCAGTCCCATCGTTCGTCATCTGGTGACGTCCAGTCTGCGAGAGAGAGATAGAGAGAGAATGCGAGAGAGAGAGAGATAGAAGAACCAGAGAAAATGAAAAACCAGGCGCGCCACTCGAGAGGACCGCCGCACGTGAGCGACAACCAATAACAGTGCTCCAACACTGTTCAATTCAATTCGGTAGTTTGGATCATGTTCCAACTGCGGCGTTGGCAGCATTCAAGAATCAGTGCTTGTTTTCTTCCGCCGTTCGGAATGGCGCTGTGGTCCACAGGCGGAACGCATTTCTGGACCCGCTTCCAAATTCGTCGCTGCCGCTCCCCTTTGTTTCCCCTCTTCCGCCTTCCCCTGTTCCTCATGGTTCCACCTGCCCCTCCTCCCTACTCAACTCCTGTTCCTCCCCCTCCTCAGCGTTCTCGTCGCCGTCCTCTCTTTTCGAAGCACAAGCGCCAAGACTTCCGATCGCACAGCAAGCGGTAAGTCAATTCTTACAACTGCCTTTGGGGATCCACATCTTCTACGATGCCCCATCTTGAGGGCACCAGAAGCTTCATCGGTTTGCCTCAACAGTCTCTCTCTCTCTCTCTTTCTCTGTCTTCGGCGTTTTGGCGGTGGTCGCCCGCCGTCCCAGCGGGGGCTCCAAGAGAGCCCAAAATGGCAACGGTGAGGCTTCAAGGGGACGCCAAGAGGCCCCCATGTGGCTCCCAAAGGCATATAACAAGACACGTTCTGGCCCCTTTGTTTCACTGTGTCTTACTGGCCCCCCTTTTCCAAACCGTTTGCATGAATAACGTTTCTGGCCTGGCTGGTCGGCCTTCTTTATTCCGGACGCCTGCTGGCAACGCAGTGCGCGCTTGGTCACACACATCTTGGCAGGAGGAGAAAGAGGAACCGAACAGTCAGGAATCTCAGCACGACGACTGAACGCCGCTCGCATGTATTGGCGTCGACTACTCGGGTCATCAGCCTGTCGAAGTGTTCAATGTTCGCATTCAGCTATTGTGATGTATGTTCTTGTTTGCGCCATGTTACTGTTCGTTGTACCATCCAGAGAACAGTGTCCCTCGTGGGCGGCGGTGCCGAGAGCGTCCCATTGTCAACACCTTCAACGAAAGCTGCCGCAAAATGCAAAGGACATCCTCGGCGGTCTTGAGGTAAATTAACTCGCACAGATCTGTTCAATGTCTGCGCGATCACCGTTGCCATCGGCATTGCCTTCATCGTCCGATGAATTGGGCGATTCTGCGAACGGCCGGTGGAACTCCTCGCAACGCAAACGCACATACGCAAAACCCACTGCTGTCATGCAGCTGGTGTGGAACATCTCGTCAGCAGGGCACCCCTAAGCCTCGCACCACACCCTTGAATGATATCGTACAATCCTGCATGCACCGCACTTCTTCGCACGCTGCATGCTGTTGACATCTCCTGGCCCATTCTCTGATGCACCACAGTGCCAGCGATGAAGTGGAATCTCCTTCCCAACAAACTCCAAACGATTTAGATCGGGATCAAGCGGACCAGGTGCCGCGTCAGGAACGGAGCGTTGGGCACATGCTCATTCACACAAACATGGCATGTGACAGATGCTATCACTCGCCATCTTGGAACAATTCCAGCAAAATGCATCGCTGCAAATCCATTTCTGTGCTTCGACGCCGCATGTCGGGCACTTCGGGCACTTCGCTGGATTATTCATGCGTGCGAAGAATAATCGCGAATACATGCCTTGCGATCTAAACTCCGCATCTGTATGAAATCGGAGGGGATGCATCTATAATTGCCTGACAGACCATTGCGTATCTCGATATTGCGATCGGCTTGTTGGGGGGCGAACTCCGCGGCGTCCGTGCTCCAACCGGCACAATCAGGACGCTCAGGCTGCACTGGACTGCATGGAGCCGGGTGCGACAACGGGCGAACAGGATCTGAACACCAACAAGCCATGCACACATGCAGGGTCTTGTTGACTCAAAAGAACATGTCCGATTCGTTCCAATGTATTTGTTGTCCTGAATACAACTGCCTTGGTGTTCATCTCGCTGACTCACCTGTTGTGTCTTGCCTCTACGGTCGAACTTTGCTCGACCGACTGCACGTAGCTGCATCTGGCGGTGGTGTTTCTGAGGTCTGGACGGCTTGGGCGGTCAATCGCATGGCGGCGCGAAGTCCAAACATTCACTCGGCTGCTCCATGGCTGGCCAGGGCAACGCTGAAGGTGGGCTACGCGAGGCCTTATGCAATTGGACCTGTTGGCCCCGAGACGGTCAAAGGAACCTCCATGAGGCAACACCGAACGGCACGCATACGTCAAATGACTGCGAGGAAGGCACACAAGCCCAAGAAGGTAGATTAGGGGCCTCCAATCAGCCCAGGTTCCCGAAACATGCGCCCACAGTGCGAATCCCGCACACATCAGCCACGCGTGCCGAAAAGGCCCCAGAAGAATGCAGGGAATGCCACCAATGTCGCGAAGAGCTCCCGAGAGAAACCCCGCACGGCTTCCCAAAAGAAGGCCTCACACAATCCTTTATGGCCTGGCTCCTGCTTCTCCTTCTCCCGCTCCTCCTGGCTCTCCTCCTCCGTCTCGCCGTCGTCGCCCTCCTCCTCCTCCTCCTCCTCCTCCCCTCCCCTCGTCCCACCCACCATCCGCATCCTCTGGCTCCGTCTCTTCGCGTTCCTCCGGCTATCCCTCTCCCCCGTCCCTCCTCTGCAGCAGTTCGGCAGCCGCCTCCTCCAGGGCTGCTGCTGCCCCTGGCCCTCCCGCCTCCGTCCTCCCTCCCCCCACCCGTTCCCCCTCATCATCACCCAAACCAGTCTCGTCCTGAATTGTTCCATCCTCCCTCCCCGCCGTCCGCGACGATTCTCTCTCTCTCCGCAGCCCCTGAGCGCGGCCCCAGAATCCAACCAACGCCGCGCCAGGCCGGCGCACGCGCCCCGTCGCAGGGGCCTGCCCGTTCCAGATGGGGGGGGGGAAAGGAGGGAGGCCCACCTTCAAACCGTCCTCTGTCGCGAGGTTATCAAAATGAGGAGGAGGAGGTAGGTCGAGCGGCCGGGCCACTCAAGAAGTGAAGTAGTTCGCAAATGCTGGTGACGGCGTACCTTGCGAGTCTTCACACGGCGCACCTGGTCAGTAGAGCTGTAGACGCAGCAGTCTCATAGGGCCATACATAGGCCGTCGGCCGAGTTCTGTCTGGCATCAATAGCGGCGCACAGACGTATGATTCTTCAGTCCTGGTCGCCCACTTGGGTGCTTCCACGCGCGCTTAACGCATCCGTATAGAATCGTGTATAGGCTGCGGTTGTTGTGCAAAACCGTTTGGAAGGTAGGCCTTGTGTCTTGTAGTACTCCTGTGCGCTCGGGCTCCCTTGTTGTTCGATCCGGTCCACGAAGTACTTACTGGCACGCGTAAGCGTAGGCCGGCAATGTAAATTGCGCTCGTTTGCGAACTCGCTCTCGTTGCAGCTCAAGTTCCAAATTTTGATATGGGCGCACTGGTCTGCAGCGAAATCGCATTGCTGGCCGAATATTTTCGCAACGATCGCCTTCTTGAGCCACGTCCGCGCTGATTATTCCTCCTCCTCCTCCTCCTCGTCCTCTTCCTCCTCCTCCCTCACCCTCTCTCGCTGAGCGTGGGAGGACCAGGGGTAACACGAGCAGAGGAAGGAGGAAGACAGAGGAGGATAAACGGGAGCGAAAGGGACTGGATAAGAGAGGAGAGTACGGAGAGGAGAGAAAGGAGGCTGAAGGGGAGGGGAGAATATCACATCTCATGCCGGAGAGATGAAGGGGGACGGAAGAGGAGAGGGATAGCGGGAGGGGGGAGAGAAAGGGACGCTCGAAGCGCGTCACTGGCTTCTGGACGGGCTGGTGGTGGCACGCGATTGGAAAACAAACACAATGCTGCGTCGATGAGCTTGAATTTAACCTTACGCGCGCAAGTAATACAAACATTGCCTGCAACTTCTGAAGAAGAGAGACACGGGAGCAAGAGCGGAATGCACAACTCGGGTGACGCAGCGGCCAGACGGGGATCGCAGCGAAGACTGTGGCGCCTCCAGCAGCAGGACTTCCGGGTTTACCAGGGAGCCTCGGAGAGGAAGCATGTGGCCCACCCCGAGATCGTCAAAACCAGCATTGTGGAGAGCTAAGCCTAGTCCGAGGTCGAACCAAACCGATTGCGAATCCAGCTCGCCTGGTGCCCGCTGGGTCGACAGCGACTGCGGCAAAGGTGAACAAGACAGTGTAGAAACCTCCTGGTACGCAATGATGCACCAAAACTTTCTGCGTGGACATCCGTTCGACCCCCTACATCTCCCGCCATTTCGGCCACGACGTCGTCGGGCACCTTGCCGCCATCGACGATCACGGCGGAGGACTTGCCGCGGAAGCCTGCGGCTGAGGGCACCGCTCGCAAGAAACGCAATCGAGCGGAGGCGGCCCGAGGATTGGCACAGGAGGAGCAGGCCGAAAGAGAGAGGAAGGACATATATATATATATACATAGAGAGAGAGAGAGAGAGACAGAGACAGACAGAAAGAGAGAAAGAGAGAGAGCCAGGCAAAATGTGATCAAGGGCGCACCTGGAACGGTCACGATGATAAGCTTGAGTGGAGTTGTCCAAACGCCTGACCTGTTGAACGAAGTGCAGGGGACCCATCCACGTCTGCAAATGTCCGCCAGTGTGCCCTGATGCATGAAAATAAATGTCCAAGTCCCTAAGGGACCCCACAGACGCCCCACGAGGGCTCCAAGAGGCCCCATAGGAGGGCCCCGAGACGCCAAAATCATTGGTCCCTTCTAGGCGCTTGACGGATTTAGCGTTGTCGCCTCTTTGGGCACTCGGCATTCGACGCCCAAGTACGGCACAAGAGGCCCCCAAGGGGGCCCCCAGACAGCCCAAGACGGCCCAAGACGGCCCCAAGCAGGGCCCAAGAGAGGCCCCAGAGGGGGAACACGAATTGGCATTTCGAGTTCTTCGCCCCACGACGACCCCCGAGACCGCCAGCAGGCCCCCTTGAAGCTCCAGGAGGCCCCCCAAAGAAAGCCTCACATCGGCACCCGGAACCCCCCTAAGGGGCGTCTTCTCGGCCTTCCGACGGCCCGAGACGGCCACAGAGGCCGCCAAGATGGCCCCAGAACGGACCAAGAGGGCCTCCAAAACTGCCCCAAGAGGGACCCCAGACGGTCCAAGAGGAATCCAAGACGCCCAAGATGGCCTCCAAGACGGCACTGGGGCACCTCAAGAGGGCCCCGAATCGGCCCAGAGAGGTCATCAACATGGTTTCCGACGGCGTCAGAAGGGCCAGGAGCCCACCAAGACGGCCCAAGCTGGCTCCAAGATGGGCCAAGACGGCCCAAGAGGCCCACAAGAGGCCCCCAAGACGGCACAAGAGGCCTCCAAGATGGTCACCAGGAAGGCCCGAAGAGGCCAACATCATTGATTTTGACATGTGCTTCTTTTCGGCCTTCCGACGGCCCGAGACGGCCAAATAGCTGCCCAAGAACGCACCAAGATCGCCCAAGATGCCTCCAAAATGGCCCCAGAACGGCCCAAGAAGCCCCCAAGAGTGCCCCAAGACGGCCCAAGAGGCCTCCAAGACGCCCAAGATGGACTCCAAGACGGCCCTGGAGCATCCCAAGAGGGCCCTAAGTCGGCCCAGACAGGCCCCCAAGACGGCTTCCGACGGCGTCAGAAAGGCCAGGAGGCCACCAAGACGGCCCAAGATGGCTACAAGATGGGTCACGGCGGCCCAAGAGGCCCCCAAGAGGTCGCCGAGACGGCCTAAGGGGCCTCGAAGATGGCCTCCTGGACGGCCCGAAGAGGCCAAAATCATTGATTGTCCGTAGGTGTTTGAAGGATTTTGGCGTGTGTTTCTTTTCGCCTTCCGACGGCACGAGACGGCCCAACAGCCTCCACAGATCGCCCCAAGATCGCCCAAGAGACCTCCAAGGTAGCCCCAGGACAACCCAAGAGGCCACCAAGACGGGCAGTCGTCTGGCGATGGGTTTCCCATATTTCCGAAGTGTGGGAAGCCCATGGCCAGACGACTGCCAGGGAACCCTTGGGAGGGCGAGAATAATGCATGTTGTTGATGACTCCAAGTTTCCCGCAATTCGGAATTATGGGATTCGTGAAATCACCGCGAGCCCGCCCTTGTTGTGGTGGTTTCAAGTTTCCCCTACTTTCAATTTACGCGAAACCGGGTATCACCATGAACAACCACCCTTTTTGTGGTGATTCCAAGTTTCCCATAATTCGGTGATGGGAAACCTGAAGTATGACTTATGGGAAAGCTGGAATCACGACAAAACACTTAGGTCTTCGTGGTGATACCAATTGTCGCATCATTCGAACTTCTCATTTGGAGAACCGGGGGGCGGCAGTTTCCCACAATGCGAAAGGTTCCCCGCAATCCGAGTTCAGATTTCGGGAAGCCACGGGGACAAACCGCTGCGGGGTCGAATTGCGGGAAACCACGGGGGTACGCGCGCCAGTACTCAACAGCCTCCGTCTCCAGCGCAAGCCGCAGACTGATTTCGAATTATGGGGAACCAAGAATCACAACGGACAAATCACCCTCTTTTATCGTGATTCCAGGTTTTCCACAATTCTATTGTGGGAAACCTGGATTTTGACGTGTAAGAATCCTGGGGCCACCACGAAACCATACTTTTTTGTTGTGGTCCCGAATTTCCCGCAATCCCGAATCATGGCAAAACTGAAATCACCAGGAAAAGCATCTTTTGTTGTGACTCCAGGTTTCCTATAATCCGACGAAGGGGAAACTGGAATCCGAATGATGAGAAACATGGAACTGGTAGGAAAAACGTATTTTGTGTGGTGATCCCAGGCTTCCCGTAATTCGAACTCTCCAGCGGCGTCTCCCCACTGGTTTCCCGAAATTCTGAATCCGAATTGCGGGGAACCTTCCGTATTGAGGGAAACTGCCGCCCCCCGCTCCGCCAAACGAGTTCGAATTATGGGAAGCCTGGAATGACCACGACATGCCCTCCTGTGTTGTGACTCCAAACCATAACCCTTTCATGGGAAACCTGTCATTCGAATGATGGGAAGCCTGGAAACACTACGGAAACACATACGTTTGATTTCTGTCGTGATCCCAAGTTCCCCAAGAAGCCCCACATGATGGGGAACCTGGAAGCATCACAAAAAACCCGTTCCCTTTGTGGTGATTCCATGTTTCCCACGATTCTGAATTATGGGGAACCTGGAAGCACCAACCACGAATAACAAACGTTTTTGTGGTGGGCCCAGGCTTCCTATAACTCCATTAAGGGAAACTTGAATTCGAATTATGGGAAAACTGGAATCACAACGAAAAATCTGTGTTTGTGTGGTGATTCCAGGTTTCCAATAATTCAGAAGTGTGGTAAACCTGGAACCACGACGGGTATATATATATATACACATACACATGTGTATACATATTATATATATATGTAGGAAATGATTCCAGAGTTCCCGCAATTCCACAATTGGAAACCTGGACTTTGAGTTTGGGGAACCTGGCAACACTACAGAAAAATTATCCTGGCGAAGGACCCAACCATATGCAAATGTGAATACCGCAGGGCAGGTGGGACGAAACAACAGGAATTCCCAATGTGGCCACGAACCGTGTGAGGGGTTCGCCACAATGGGGCGGGGCCGCCATGCGAAACCTGCCACTGAGGCCGTCGGTGGAGCTCCCTATGTCCCTGCGGGGCCACGAACCGTGTGAGGGGTGCGCCAATATGGGGCGGGGCCGCCATGCGAACCCTGCCACTGGGGCCTTCGGTGGAGCTCCCTATGGGGCCACGAACCGTGTGAGGGGTGCGCCAAAATGGGCGGGGCCGCCATGCGAACCCTGCCACTGGGGCCTTCGGTGGAGCTCCCTATGGGGCCACGAACCGTGTGAGGGGTGCGCCAAAATGGGGCGGGGCCGCCATGCGAACCCTGCCAGCTCCCTATGGGGCTGTGAGGGGTGCGGGGGATGCGAACCCTGCCACTGGGGCCTTCGGTGGAGCTCCCTATGGGGCCACGAACCGTGTGAGGGGTGCGCCAAAATGGGGCGGGGCCGCCATGCGAACCCTGCCACTGGGGCCTTCGGTGGAGCTCCCTATGGGGCCACGAACCGTGTGAGGGGTGCGCCAAATGGGGCGGGGCCGCCATGCGAACCCTGCCACTGGGGCCTTTGGTGGAGCTCCCTATGGGTCTACGAACCGTGTGAGGGGTGCGCCAAAATGGGGCGGGGCCGCCATGCGAACCCTGCCACTGGGCCTTCGGTGGGGCTCCCTATGGGGCCACGAACCGTGTGAGGGGTGCGCCACAATGGGGCGGGGCCGCCATGCGAACCCTGCCACTGGGGGCTTCGGTGGAGCTCCCTATGGGGCCACGATCCGTGTGCGGGGTGCGCTAAAATGGGGCGGGGCCGCCATGCGAACCCTGCCACTGGGGCCTTCGGTGGAGCTCCCCATGGGGCCACGAACCGTGTGAGGGGTGTGCCGAAATAGAGTCATGCGGAGGGTGATGGTGATGATGACGACCATGTTGGTGCTGGTGATGATGACGATGACGATGACGATGGTGATGGCGATGACGATGATGGTGATGACGAGGATGGTGTTGGGAGGAGGGAGGAGGGGGGGAGGAGGAGAGGAGTGAGGACGCGGGCGCTGTCTCTTCAAAACGAGGACCCAACACCACAGGATGGTTGGGAAAAAACACCCCTTCTTTGTGGTGGTCCTCGGTTTTCCATAATTCCGTATAATGGAAAACCTGAAAGCAGCACGAAACCCAATCATTTTAAGCTGATTGCAAGCTTCCCATAATTCGAGTACGGGAAACCTGGAATTCGAAGTATGGGAAACCTGGAATCACAACGAACCCCGTCCTTTTTTGAGGTGGCTCCAGGTTTCCTTTGGGTCGAACTCCCCAGCTGCTTCTCCCGCCTGGTTTCCCGAAATTCGGAAGTTGAATTGCGAAATTTCTTCCGCATTGCCAGAAACTGCAGCCATCAGGTTCCCCAAATGAGGTATTCGAATTCTGGGAAAACGTGACACGACAACACAAAATCCGTTTCATTCTTGGTGGTTCCAGGATTCCCATACATCCGAATCGTTGGAAACCTAGAAACACCACGCAGATCCGAATTATGGAAAACCTGGGAATACCACAAAAGCACACATCTTTTTGGTCGTGATTCCAGGTGCCCAATACTTCTATCATGTGAAACCTGGACTTCGAGTTACGAGAAGCCTCGATTCACTACGAAAAACATACTTTTGTGTGGCGATTCCACGTTCCACATAATTCAGAACTGCGGGAAACCCCGAACCACAATGAAAAGCCATATTTTTTGGGGGGGGGGTCGTTTTCCTATAATCCGATCATTGGAAACCTCCAATCCGAGTTGTGGGAAAGCTGGAGTCACATCGAAAACTGTTGTATGGTGATTCCAGGCATCCCGAAACTTGAACCCTCAGCGGCTTCCGCCCCCTGGTGTCCCGAAATTCGGAATAAGAGTTGCGGTGAACCTTCCGCATTGTGGGAATCTGCCACCCTCGGGTTTCCCAACCCAGAATCTCTACGAAAAGCACCCTTTCTCCGTGGTGAGTCCAAGTTCCCCACAATTCAGAATTCTGGGGAAATTAGACTCACAACGAACAGCATGTTGTTTTGATGTGGGGAACCTGGAATTCGAATTACGGGAAACCTGGAATCCAGGTCTCCCAAAAATCCGGAATGTGATAAATCTGGAAGCACCACGGAACACATAAATTTGTTGTGCAATTCCAGGTCTCCCATGAAACCTGGAATCACACAACGAAAACCATATTCCTTGTAGTGATTCCAGGTTTCCCACAATTCCGAATTATGAGAAGCCGAGTGCCACCAGAAAACGCAAACCCTTTTTGTGGTGATTCCAGGTTTCCCATCATCCCGAAGTATGGAAAAAACTTGAGCCACCATAAAACACGCGCGCTCAACCTTGTTTGTGGTGATTCCAGGTTTTTCATAATTCCGAATTTGGGGGAACCTGGAACACTAGAGGAACAAATGTGTGTGGTTATTGCAGGTTTCGCACAAGTGGGAAGTGTGGGGAACCTGGAACCACCACAAACATGCAATGTGTTGTGCTGATGCCAAATTTCCCATACTTCGGAAATCAACTTTAGAGAAACGTAGTGACTACGCCGCGGGCCCCCGTCTCCCCATAATTGCTTGCTCCGAAATGCTGAAGTATGGGAAACCTATACCCGGACGGCAGCCCTAAGACGGCCCCAAGAGAGCCGCAAGACGTCCCAAGAAGTCTCCAAGACGCCCAAGATGACCTCCAAGACGGCCCTGGAGCACCCGAGGAGCTACCAAAGGCCCCCAACAGGCCCAAGGAGGCTTCAAAGATGCCTCCAAGAGGCTCCCAGGAAGCTCCCAGGAGGCCCCAAAAGTGCCCCCGGAGGCTCCCAAGATGCCCTTTCCTCATCCTCTTTCTCCTCTTGTCTTCCCCACCATCCTCCCGGAAATGGTCCCCGAAGGGTTTCCACGACGGCTTTGGGAACACGTAGTCCGATAGCTTGGCAGAGCTCTTGCCACAACGCTCGGCCACATGGGCGATTCCAAAAGGCAGGGAGCGGCGGTAATTCGCGCCGTAGGCGTCTTCTCGATATTCACCAGCCTCTGCGGCGACACTGGAAATGTTGCATGGGAAACGTAGTGCAAGGAAGGCGGGGCACAGAAATGCGAGGCTAAAGGTCCAGTGAGGATGAGGAGGGAGCGGCTATTCTGCATAGAAGAACGCAACTGTGCACATAAACGGAAGCAGCGAGTTGAATTCAAAGGGGGCGCGTCATGGACTGCCAACAGGAGCGTCGACAGTACACCTGACGAAAAATTACAATGCGGTCCTGCAGGAACCGCGCGAGGCCGAGGCGGACCGTGCCGCGACTCCACGGTCCCCTTCTGAGCCCGTTCGGCGTCTGCGCCCGCTCGGTCGCCGAATGAGCAGCCGAACGGGCTCAGTGCCGACGGGGTCGAGAGAAAGTGAGCCCGCTCGCCCGCAGCATGGGCTTGGTCGTGAGTCCGCTCCTCCGGCTATTGGAGCTCCGGGCGGATTCCTCGGTTCTGCGCCGCACCCCCTCCCTGGCGCGCGGAGCGCGCCAGGGGCGGCGCTATGCCGCCTCTTTTCTTCATCGAGAACAGGCTCAGAAGGGGACCCCGGGCCCCGGCCAGTGGGGGTGACCGAAGCTTGGCAGCTCAAATCTGGGGTCGTGAGAGATGGGGTCCTAAACGGACGAGGGGCCTCAAACAGTGAAAAAAGGCGACCCCTGGTGGGGGAACCGAAAAGTACCAATACCGCTGCTCCCTGGACCTATCCCTGAGTGCGTTCTGACCAGGATTGCGAGGCGAATGCAGCGGTAGCGACGAGGGCCTCCCAGGAGGCCCCAAAAGGGGAGAACGAGGCTAAGGTAGCAAGATGGTTCCTTTTCCACCTCTTACCTGGACCCCTTCCCACTCTCAGGCCCCCCATCCCACAGGGCCCCACCTCTGAACCGCCAAGAAGCGCCGCGGCGGGCCAGGCGCCTCTGGCCGCTCCAGCCGAGAGGCGGCGCTCGCACCGCGTGCGGCCCCGCTCCTGCGCAGCGGCCCCGCAGTCGTGCGCCTTTCCGCGGGCGAGCGCTGCGCACACCCGGTGGATACGTATAGACGTATAGATTTGGTGGCCCGACGCTGACACCTCTCACGCCGCGCGCGGGTGCCACGCGCCGAAGCGCGCGGCAGGGCCACGCCCACGCGCGCGGCAGTCAGGGGCGGCCGCCTCGCCGGGCGCACCAGCACACCACCGTGCGGAGGGTGCCCGAGGCACAGGGCGCGCGGTCGAGCGGCGCCCGAGCGGATTGCCAGAGCCCGCGCCGCCAGGCCTGGGCGGCCTGCGGCGCCCGCGCCCGAGGTTGGCGCGGCTCGGGCGGGTGGTGATGGTACACTGGGGGGAGGGGGACCTAAATGGAAGAGAGGGGCCCTGAAAGGCCCTTCAGGGCCCCGTTTGGAGCCAGCAGGGGGGCCCAAAAGGAGCCCTGCCCTGTTCTTCACCCCCCAATCAAGGTCACCCCCAGATGCCACCCAGCTCCTGCTGACTTGGGCCACTGCAAGCCAGGGCCAATCAGGCATTGTAACCAGCAGGATCCTGCAGGATCCTGCGCGCTAGCTCGGGTCAGTGCACCTCTGGCTTTGCAGGATCCTGCAAGATCTGGCGCTCTGATTGACCCCCGTCTGCACGGGCCCCCGTCTCAAGGCTCCCAAGCAGCCTGGGCGAGGACCCCACCGCCGTCCACATCGCGCCGCTGCGCAGGGCGCTGCTGGTGCAAGCGGCGATGGTCACGGCAATGCTGCTGGCTCGGCTGGTGCCAGGGCGCGCGGTGTGAGCCGCGGCGCCTACGGAGGTGCTCCGACGATCACGTCCGCGTCTGCTGGCAAGCCCTTGAGGCGCGCCAGCTTGGCGACGGAATCGTTGATACCCTTATAGTTGGTGTCCAGGAGCCACCGCATCAGCCGCAAGAACGGCCAAAACTCCAGCACGGGGAAGCCCTTCTGGCCCTTCTTGTCCAGGGAGGCCAACTTCTCCTCCAGCGCCGGCTCTCTCTCACCCACCGGCACGCCCAGGTATCTGATGAGCTTGCGGGCCCCGTCGCCTGGCAGCAGGTAGGGCGCCACGCCTCTCTGGAGCCCGCTGACGAACTTCGGATTGGGCTTGGCGTAGTGCCTGAAGACCTGGTGGAACTGGTCCACCTCGACCTCGCTGAAGCCCAGCTCGGCGCGGAGGGCCCGCAGCTGTGCGTCCTCCCTCCTGTCCTGCTCGTCGTTCAGCAGGCGCAGCAGCTGCACGAAGACCCAGAAGCTCGTCCCACTCTCGCTGCCGACCGCGCCGGGCATCCCAGCGTCGCGGGCCCGCTCCCTGGCGGTCTGCATCTTCGCGACAAGCGACATCTGTTCCTGCTTGTCCGTGGGGCCCCAGCCGAACTTGTTCAGGATCGCCTCCATCTCGAGGACGTCGACGACTCCAGTCTTGCTTTTGTCGTGCTCATTGAAGATCCCGTGGAAGTACAGGAGCTCATCCTGACTACCTACCAGACCACTCCAACCCAACCCGAAGACCCACACTTCGGGTTGGGGGGAATACAGGTTGCGTCTGAGTAATTGTCATTGCTCCCCGACCCCCCCCCACTTGGAACGGAGGGCAAATTGGGGCCTTCGGGTTGGGCTGGGGTGGTTTGGTGGGTGGTGACATCCTCGGTGAAGCTGGCCTTCCCGCGCTCCCTCTCCACGAAATCCACCCGCGTGGCGTCGAGGACGCCGATGAAGTCGTCCAGCCTGAGCATCGAGAAGGCCCCCAGGAGCGTCTTGTCGGCCGCCGCGGGATCGTACCCCAGCTCTTCCAATGCGCTGCTGAGGTCCCGCTGGTCAATCACCCGCTCCACGCCTCGGCCGGGCGCCAGGCGGACCCACGATGCGTGGTCCTCGAACACCCTCTGGGCCTCCGCGCACGCGGCCTCTTTGAAACGGCGCATGAGGTGCAAGAACTCGCGCCAATCGAGCTGCCCGCTCTGGTTGAGGTCGGCGGCTATGATGTACGACTGCACGTCCGAGGCGGTGTGACGGTAGCCGAGGTAGCGCAGCAGCTTGCTGAGCTCGCTGGTGCCGACCTCGCCGCTGTTGTCCTCGTCGTGGTCGAAGAAAACCCGCTTGAATGCCTCCACCTCCGCCTTCAAGAACCCCTCCCGCTGGTGAAAGATCATAAGAAAATCGAACAACTCGTTGAAATCGAGCTCGTAATCGATGTGCCAATCCTCCACGAGCTCCGTACAAATCTCCGCGATTACCTGCTTGAGCGCCGTATAGCCCTGTTTCTTGAGCAAACCTTTCAATTCAGAGATGGAGACACTACCGTTGCCATCCTCGTCGGCAACCTTGAACAAGCCCGAAGTGGCGAGCTTCTCAGAGGTGACGGCTGACATGATCGTGGTCGCCCTGGACACGGTCGGTGACATCACGGTAGAGTGCCTCGTCTGATCCTCAACTGCGCCCGCCAAGCGCTCCATCATGTCGGGATTGTCCTTCTTTAGCTGCTCGCGCTGGCACTCGCGGATCATGCGGGCCACGATCAGGAACTCCTCAAACGTCAGGCCGTCGACCACGTTGGTCGAGGCCGTCTGGCCCACCTGGGTGTGCAAGAACTTCTCCACGACGCCCTTCTAGGTGGCGAAGTCCGTCCGAACCCTGCCCCCGCTAATCATCGATCCACCCGAATCGATGCGAGGCGGGGGCAGGGTTCGGATTGCGCCACGTGCTCGACGAATTTCGAATCCTGCCCCCGCCGCCCATTGGGCTGACCGAATCGTGGACCGGCGAGGATGGGGTTCGGATCTCGCCGCCGGCCTTCGCGAACTGCGCCTGCTGATGGCCGCAGCACAGCGTCAGGACCGTCTCCACGTAAGGCAGCGCCAGCACGTCCTCCATAGCCGTGGGCTCGTTCGCCTTGTGTGTGGCTCTCCGCAGGCGGTTCGACGGAGACGCCGCTCGCGTCCCAGAGCCGACGCCCGCACCTGAAGCCGTCGAGCCTGCGGGCTTGATCGCGGAGGGGTCCAGGGCCTCGGCGCCGTCGAGGTTGGGGTCCAGCCCGGCGAAGCGGTCGAAGTGCATGCGGAGCTCTTTCGCCTCGGCGGAGGAGAAGCCCTGCTTCGCGGAGTATACCGCCAGGAAGTGGGACAGCTCCTCGAAGCCGAGTTGCGCGTTTCCGTCGTCGACCTCCATCAACGCCTCGCGTATGGTGGCGGTGAACGGCACCAGGCCCAGGCTGACCATCAGAGGCCGAAGCTCGTGAATCGATATCTCGCCGCTGTCGTCGGTATCGAACTCTTGGAAGATCTCTCGCATCTTGTGGCGCTCCCACTTCTGGTACTTCCTCATGAAAATGCAGAACTCCTCGAAGTCGAAGCGGTGGTAGTTCGTGACATCGCTCAGCAGCGGCCTGTAGTGCTCCGGAAGTGTGAGCCCGTGCCCCAGGAAGCAGAGCAACTCGCCGAGCTGGTCCACGTGCGCCTCAAGCTCGCCCGGAGCCTTGAAGCGGTTGAAGGCAGCCTTCCACACGTCCAGCCCGGGCTCCGAGAGCTCGTCGATGTCGGCAGCACCGCCGCAAGACGGGCTGGCGGACTCTACAGACCCCCTGTGCTGCGAGGCGAGGTCCGGCTGGGAGGCGGTGCTCTCCTGTCTTCAACAGCGCGCAAGAGCGACCCTAGGCAAGAGTGACCGGCTTTCATGGGGCGCGGGAGGCCGAACCCACGCGGGCAAGCCTGCCAACTATCGCATCGCAGACGGCAATCGGGTAACCCCAGCGGGCCCGCACCAAAGTTAACCCCAGCGGGGGGCACTCTTACGTGTTGTCGATGGCTGCCTGCTTCGCCTCGCCCGGATTCTTGGAGACCTGGCGGCTCTTGGAGGACCGGCAGGGCTCGTGCGGGCCCCCGCTGGCGTCCGGGGCAGCCGCAGCGGAGCCCAGGGCGGGCTGCTTCTTCGTGTTCACCTTCCTGTGGTCGACCTTCTGCTCCGGGGCGGCATCTCCCTCGAAGGCGACCTGCACGACCTGCGGCGGGGCCGCATCGGGGCTCATCACGCTCGCTATCCACTCGGCGTGCGGCCCTTGATCCGCTACTGTGTCGGCAGCGGCTTCCGGCGCCTCCAAACCGAGGGAGGGCTGCAACACTGGATCCACGAGCCCAATCTGCACCGACCCGCCCTCGACGCCACCGCCGCCGTGTGGGGCGCCATGCAGGTCCTGCAGGGCGATCGGTGAAGGTGTAGGTGACATGACCTGCGAGCTGGGTGAAGGCAGCTGCCCGCCCTTGCGCAGGTCGGCGGACCTCTTGGCGGTGCGTCTCTTGGCGCTCGCGTACATGTCCTCGAAGGAGAGCGGCGGCCGGGCGGAGCCGCCGAGCGCTGGCAGCAGCCCGCTGGCGCAACGGCGGCTCGGCCGCCAGGAGAGCTGCGGGGCGCTGGCGACGGACCTTATGCCGCAGCCGTGGCCGAACGTGAAGGCCATGTCCGCGCTCGCGCCTCGCCTGAGGCCGACGAGCTCGGACCTCGTGCCGAAGCCGTCGCCGAACGTGGCGGCCATGTCCGCGCCCGCGCCTCGGCCCAGCCTGACGCCAACGGGCTCGAACCTCCGCCTGACGCCAACGGGCTCGGACCTCATGCCGAAGCCGTCACTGAACGTGGCTGCGAGGTCCGCGCCCGCGCCGCGGCCCAACCGGAGGCTGGCCGACTTTGCCTCCGGCGCCGCGGGGCGCGCCGGACCGAGGAACTGCAAAGGCGGCTTCCTCTTTGGACGCCCGAAACGGGTGCGGAAACAATGTGCCCGACGCCCAAGAACATGCTGTCGCAAACCGACCGAGGCCGCTGCTGGCAAGGCGGCCTTCTGCCTCAAGCGGGCAGGGTCCGCGGCGGCACCGACAGCAACTCCGGCTCAGAATGATCAGGAACTGCTGGCGGCCTTCGTGCCCACTCTTCCAAGACCCCTCCCGTTCGTGCCGCTCCTCTGCCTCGGGCGCCTCGGGTCGCCCTCCGTGCCCGGCCGCCGGCTCAGCCGCCCCGGGCCGTGGGCCGCGCCCACCTCGGGTAGCATCGCCGGCCGCCTGCAGCCGCGCGGCGCGGGCCTGTTTTCGCCCGTGTGCGGCGTGGCGCGGCATGGCAAGGCTTGGGCCCAAAGGGGCTGAGGGTAGCGCGAATCATCGCGAGCTTGCCATCGGGCATCGGACATCGGCCCGCATCATGCGCCGCGTGGGTGCCGCGGGGTGAAGCCGAAACGCCCAACAACTGCGAGCAAAAACGAGAGACGCACAACCGTAGCGAGACAAGACAATCCCCGTCGACATGTGGCAAAATGCCTGACCCATCAGACTACCATACATGGCCCGTGTAAGAAGTAGACGCCGGCCGCATACCACCTGGCTGAAGAAGCTACATGGCATCGAGGGCTTGACTTGTGTGTAGGTTCGGCCTCATGCCCACTCGCTGCTCGCAACTCGCTCCTCTTGCGAATTCTCCCCGTCATCCGCCGACCCCCATCGGCGCGTGCGCGGAAAATCCCTTCCCATTGCGCAATCCCCTGCCACTTCATCGAGACGTTCCATTCTTGAGACGCCCACCCATCGACACTTCCTTTTCCCAGCTCGAGCATACCTGAGCTCACATCTAGGGAACCCGCGCCGTTCGGTGCAACTAGATTCTTGGCGTAAGCCATACCAGACTTCTCAGTTGATTCGTTTGCAAAGGTTGGACGGGACGTATTCAAGCTACGAACGATAATTGGCCAACTTCGCGAGGTTAAACGCTTGACCAAGAATTCCAGACAAGTTCTCGAGACTTCAATCGATACGCCATCTTATCGACGTCCCTGGGGGCCAGCACAGGTCCACCGAAGACGACGTCGAGATGTTAGAGCAACAGTCAGGAAGCCCGCAGTCGATTCAGACGGTCTCAAACCAAAGCTGCGAGAACCTAGCAAAGCAATCAGTCTTTCTACGAGAAGAGAGCGTCGACGACATTTCCGATTTTGACCCCTTCAATACACCGAACCCCATGCACAAACCATCTTGTTCGCCAGCGTTGGCAAACTCTGCCGGAGAGAGTGGCGCACATCTGACCATTTGCCACCCCGCGCAAAAAGCGTTTCATGTTCAAGACCCCTGACCCGAAGGAACACGACCATCTCAATTTTGGAGAGATGTCTGCTCTGGCCGACTGCCGCTATGAAGAGGACGAAAACGCCAGCGGTGCTGACTGCCCTCTTCCAGAAGGGCAAGCAGAAACCGCAGGACAAGCATGGCAAGCAAAGATAGCAAGACCAGCACGGCAAGCCGAGCAAGGGAAACCAGGACAAGCACAGCAAGCAGCACAAGAAATACAAGAAGCGCACGCACAGCAAGCGAGGCAAGAGCGCCGACCCGAGCACTGGCGGCGCGCCCGAGAAGCCCGCCAGCCAGGACAAGCAGGTACCAAGCAGGGCTTGGGGTTTCACCGGTAGATCAACCCCCAAACGCCACTCAAGCACAGCAACACAACTGGATAACAAACGGTAGGGACTCCGACGGACACCGTCGGGACATCAACAAAGTTGAATCGGGACGCCGAGCGAGCAGACGCTTAAGAGGAGGATCCACCATAGGTACGACATGCAAGAGCCTGGGCATCGTGGGTGAAGAGCTGTTCCAGCGCCGCTCGGCCGCTGCTTATTTGGCGTTCTAGCAAGCAGGGTTCCAGGGAAGCCGAATGTTTCTCATGACGCGGCTGGGGATCCGTGCGAAGTGCGAATGGTTGCGGTTCGTTGCTCCCAGCAGCGATAACACAGTGCATGATTTTTGGTTGCAATGATTGCCGTAGCCTGCCAAGCTGGGCCGCTTGGTAACTATGCATGCGCGATGTTGTGATACCTATGAATCCAGGGCTTCGCCACACCCCGTCTGTACGACTTGAATAGGGGCGGGTCTCGAGGTACATCGCTGGTCCTGGCGATTGCGGCTTTGCTCGGGATATCCTCACGGGATCGCTGGGCGTCGCACTCACGATGTGTTCGAACGTTTCGCTTGGAAGCTATCGGGGAATTGAGATTGTCGCGAAGGCGCACGCCAGGGCTTCGCCCCCCAAGCCCCACCGAAACCCCGTCTTGGCTATCGTTCGGGTTTCGCTCCTTCCCGCTCCCTCCAGCGAACCCCATTGCAGAGTCAGTAACGTCACGAACAGTACGCATCACATCGCACCCGGTTTGTTGCTGACGACTCGCATGACATATCTGAACACACCCCAAGTAAATATAAGGAATAATGTGCCCCATAACCCTGTCTCGAACACTCATATATGATATGTCTTTATGAATTGGTCAAAATGAAAGTGCGCGCCTGGGATCGTCGGATCTTGACCAGGAGGGAAAGAGATGGCAGGGGGAGGTGGATCAGGGGTGAGCAGGCATTAGGGGAGGAGGCGGGAGGAGATGGCAGGGGGGGAGGAGGGGGAGGCGGAGGAGAAAGAGGAGGAGGAGGAAGAGGAGGATACTCACACTTAGACTAACTCATGGGATCCCTCGTCAGCCGCGACCTACCAATAACACAAAATAAACGGCACACAGGAAAACTTGGATCCTGAGGGTCAAAATCTTCCGGACGCCAAGCTTAAAGCAAAAACTGATCCGGACACGCGCACGCCTGGTAGAGGGCCCGCGGAGGAACCCCAGCAGCTCCCGCTGCCGAAAAGCACCCCCGAGGAGGTGTTTCCCCAGCGAGGCCGAAGGGGTTGTCACCCAGGCGCCTTCCCCGGCGCACTGCCCCTGTGAGGGGGCAGCCCCCTCCTGCGAGGCATTTGGCCCTGGGGGGGCCCCCCGTGGGGGTCGAAAGCACGGTTTAGCGCTACTGGAACCCTTACCGCGCCCATTGGGAACCTTTCGAGGAAGCTCGATCGTGGGGGATCGAATTCAACCGAGCGGGAGGGGGCCCCTGCGGCGGCGATCGGCCAGAACCTGCAAATCCTGATACCTCTTGCTTCCAGACCAATCAGACATTCTTTTTTACAGGCAGTGGCGGCTGGGTATCATTCAATCCGGTGCTCATAGATCCGTTCCCTACGGCCGCGCCCATTCCCACTGCTCTCAAATCTACGTGGGTACGCCCAGGACCGCAATATCTGTCCACTACAACTCGTTAGCCAGGCGGCTGAGTTCCCTGAAGCGCGGTCCTGGAGGGGCTGCGCCCCCCTTGAACTTCGCTTTCACGTCGACCATCGCTTCGCTCAACAGGGACGATACCTTCGGCCCACGCACATGACCCAGCTCGACCGCGTAGCAAATATTGCCCTTGCCCGTGCTCTTCTTTTCTCCGTCCTTCTGTGGTTTGCCCTTGTCCGCCCTCTACCAGAAGTAGGGGGCGAGAGCCCTGATCTCCTGAGGGCTGCACTTCATCACCGCGTCGCCCCACAGTCCGGCGAAACCCTTGGACAACGGCTCGTTGCTCAGGTTGTCCGTCGTCGCCCACCACTTCACAAGGCTTGTCATATAAGGTCTGGTTGAGCAAGCCAGAGAGTTCTGCGATGGCGTGCCGCGCCGGCCTGCCGTGCTGGTGTGCCGCGCTGGCCTGCCCCCCCATCATCCTTCCCCTCTTCCTCTCCTTTCTCCTTTTCCGCCTTCCCCTCTTCGACGTCATCTGCCCATTCTCTTCCTCCCCCCACTCCTCCTGAGGCTGCTGTTGTCGCTGCTGCTGCCGCGCGACCCCCCCCCCCCCAAAAAAAAAAAACATGCGATTAGCCGGGGATCGAGCGGAGAGGGTGGGGGGCCCGGAGCGCCTTCCCCACAGAGAATTCGCTAGAACTCGCGTCGCGCGCGGAGAGCGGAAGTAATGGTTGTTGGTCCAGGCATAGCGGTTGCCTGCGGTTGCCGCCGTTACTTTGGTGCGAGCGCGCAGGGGGTCGACGGGGGGGGGGAAGGCACGGCGTGCGTGCGGGATGCGTCATTGGGGCGGCGCGCGGCAGGGGGGAGGGGTCGCGGCGCGCGTGCGGGATGCGTCGCGGGGGCGGCGGGCGGGGGGGTTGCGCGGCGCGCGCGCGAGATGTGTCGCGGGGGCGCCGGGCGAGGGGACGCACGGCACGCGCGCGCAATGGAGGAGGAAGAGAATGAGGAGGAGGAGGAGGAGGAGGAGGAGAAGGAGGAGGAGGAGGAGGAGGAGGAGGAGTAGGAGGATCGATCGATCGATCGAGCTCTCGGGCATGTCTGCGGTTACTGGACTACGACTAGTACGGTGGGCTTTCGAAAACTGTAGCGCGGCCTAGCTGTGGTCACTTTCTGAAAAGGGGGACGCTGGCGCCACGGGGCGCTCGGGCCCTGCCCGCGCCGACCTCCCCGCGCAGGGGCCCGCGGGTAGGGCGGCGCCCGCGTGTGCGGGTGCCCTCTCGCGCTCTCCTCTCCACCCCTTCCCTTCCCCCCATCGGCCCTTGCCCTTTCGTTTGGGTTTGGGGGGGGGGGTTCGGCGCGCTGCGCAGTGCTGAGGGCAGCGTTGCCCTTGGAGTTGGAAGAGGGGAGGAGCCTCGGTGGGCGGCGGAGGAGGAAACCGACCTTCCCTAAGTACATGTCGGAATCGCTCGCGGGCGCGAAAAGCCTGAGGCACTGCGATGGGGGCAGCGTCAACTGAGCGCAGCTGCGCTGAATGCTCGCGGTCGCTCTCATTGCCTTCGGCCTCGCCCTCACTGCGGCCCTTCCCTGGCCGTCGCGTTCTGGTCTCCTGCTGCAGGGCGCCCGCTGATGTCGAACGAGACTGGCACGCGTCCCGTCGGCCACTATCTGATGCTGCAGCATCTCTGGTCGCACAAAACTAATCTGCGCCCTGTCGGTCACCACTGGGAATTGCATCTTCTGGTGTCGCACAAAACTGATCGGTGTCCAGTCGGCCATTCTCTGTCGCGTGGCTCACGCCCCGTTGGTCAGTCCCCCGAGCCCCCTCCCGAGGGCCCCGCGCGGCGCTGCCCCCGCCTTCCTGATCGCTCCTCCCTTCTCGAGCTGCTTGGCTACCACTGTCTCCAGCTGATGGTGCGCGTGATGCATGTGGAACTGGAATCTGCACTTCTCCCGCGCCCCGTCGCCGCCCCCCCCCCCTAGTTGCTTCTGGCGCGGAACGCGGGCGCTGGCGATGTTGCGATCTCCGCGCCGCCGTTCAATGCGCAATCCGTGTCGTACTTCGCGAGTAAGTCTCGCTCGGCCCCTGCCCCGTGCACGCGAGCCAGATTGGCATCTCTGCCATGATATTCACGCGCGGGCTGCCCAGCGATGCGGCGTCTGCTTTCTCCGTCCTGGGCCGCGTCGTTGTAGCCCGCGCCTGCTGTCAGCCCGACCTTGGACACCTCGGCGCTGGCGTCGATGCCCAACGTCTGGATCACCACGGAGGCGAGTCCTCCTTACCCTCGCGCCAGTGACGGCCAGCCTGGCTGCGAGATTCACCGCCAGCGCGCTGGCTGGCTGCCCTCCTCCTGTCGCTCCCGCGGCGCCCCCCCCCCCCCCCCCGCTCGCGGCCTCCTCGGCGCTCGGGCGCGCGGCCCTCAATCGAGCAGCTCCCTCAACTGGCCACTCGCAAGACAGATGCCCAGGCGACATCTGGCGATTTGCAAATGAACGCGACGTTGATGGGCACGACTGGCTGGCGCCAGTAGTCATTCATCCGCTTGCGGGCGTCGCTCGGATTTGACGAGTCCACCATGTGGGTTAGAGATGGCTTGCCGACTCAAAAGAAAGCGCGGCTCGTCCACCCCATTGAATTCGCCCCAAAGGTGCTGGGCACTCGGGCGGGGCGCTCCGCGCGACGCGCGCCTGAGGCTTGGGAAATCAAAATGTACCGACACCGCCGCTCCGCCGACTTCTCCCCAGGCGCGTTGGACTAAGAATCGAAGCCAGAGGTCGCGACGAAGACCCCCCAGGAAGCCTGACATGGAGAACGTGAGAAAAGGGTGGCTGCAGGGGTACCCTGTCCACATCTGAACTACGTTCGCCGCGGAAGGTGCCAGACACTCGGGTGGGGCGCTCCGCGCCGCACGCGCCTGGGATTGGTGCGATTGCTGGCGCGGGTCTGGCTTCGGCTAGCTCCGTCACGGGAAATGTCCAGAATCTGCTTCTTGGCAGCCAGGAGGCATGCAGACGACGGCTTTTCTCTGTCGACCTTCCCCGCTCCCTCGACATCATTGCCTGCCTACCAGACCGGCCCCATCCAACCCGAGAACCCAAATTTCCAATGTCGGGCCGGAGGGGCACGGGACCCACGCGTGTCAAAATGAAAACATGTTTCCCGACGCCCCCCTCCCCAACACACACTCTCTCATACACGCACACACACACACTGGAAGTGGAGGGCAAACTGGGGCCTTCGGGTTGGGTTGAGGTGGTTTTGGCGGGTGGCAATGGGCCGTGAATCATGTCGGCTGCGGGCGCGCAATGGTAGACAACCGGCGCGGCACACAAGCCGTGCGCAATGCTAGGTGTCACCGAAACGTGTCCACAAAAAGGAAGCGCCCCTGGAGCGCACTTGCTGTAACCTCCCGGACCCTGGGGGACCGTCTCCCGGGAGTGCGCACTTCAAGACGCAAGCCAAACTGCGGGCCCTAGTTTCGGGGGCCCTGACCCAGCCGACGAGCGGCTGGCCGCAAAAGCAAGAGCTGTGACGCGACATCTCGAGTTCTTGTTTATGGTACTCTAAACTTTGTGGGGTGGTGGCCACGCGCGCGGCTGGAGAACCGCTGGAGCTCCCCGAGGACCTAGATGACTTTCTCTGCTAATGAGTGGTGGGAATCCCCAGGCCCCGACTGATTCCTCACGTCCGTTTTCGGCCGCATTATATCTTGTGCGAGTGAGGCTCAGCGCCTGCGTTGTACTTGCGCCCCGCCCTGTGGACACCCTGTACTTGGCCCTGGAGTATCTGTTGTGCACGCGAACTTCTCTTGGCTGATTGCGGCGGTGGATGCAGAAGGCAGCGAGCAAGATCTCAAGAACAAGAATACGACCGCAGTGATCATTTGCTTGCAGCGGGCGCCTTTGACCGAGAAGGATGGCGTCGACACTTGCAGCGGCTCTCCACACGCTCTTGGCGGAGCCCCTAGTACTGCCAGGTGGAAGGTGCCCTGAGCCTTTGTGGGCCCCGGAAACGACAGGGCCGTTTTTTCACCGTTTCCAAAAAAAAATGCCCCTTGAAAGTGGAAACGGCAAAAAAACGGCGACCGGAAACGGCGAAAAAACAGCTCCAGGATTGGAACCGGAACCGAAACCGGTCAAAAAACGGCGACGGAACCGGTAACAAAACGGCGTCGGAACCGGCAAAAACACGGCAAAACGGAACCGGTAAAAAAACTGCCCTGTCGTTTTCCAGGGCCCACTAAGCCCTGAGTTCCTTCCCGATCCGCCCGTGATGCAGCTTCCCGCAGTGTGGCTCCGATGCCCTGGCTGGCATGGTGACCGCGCTCGTCCCATGGCAACCGCTTGCGGTCACGCCGTTCGTTTTCACGGGTGGGCGGACTTCCGCCGACACGCCGCATGACGCCCTCGTATACGCTCATAACTTTGACAACATAGCCTACTTCGCCGAAGAAGTTGGCAACAGGCAGAAATGGACGAATATCAGTGGCGAGCGGATCGAACGCCTGGGCATATCTGCGCCTTGGCTTATGCCTCGCTTGTGAGGATGTGGGCGTTTGCTGTGATCGCGCCCCCGCCGTCCGACATTACGCACTTGGGCACAAAAACCGTGCTGCGCATCGGATGTCATGGTAGTGCAGAAGCCCCTGGTGAGCTACCAGACTAAACCTTCACCCTCTCTATGGGTCAATGTTTCGTGAGTTCAAGGTCGTGCTTGACCCAGAAATATGTTGGAGACCCCCCGGGGGAAAGAAACAAAAACAAACAACAAAAAACGCACCGCCGTGGATCGGCTGGGGATGGGCCTCCGAAAAAAAAAGACCCGCAGTCAGGCTTGTTGTTCGACGTGCGCGTCCGTGCTCAGCTGCGTTCGGAATGCCCGAAAGTCCTCCTACACTGCGTGGTGCGGAGGGCAGTCGGGCAGCGGGTCGTGCTCAGCGAAGACAGCGCACAAGCACGAGCGGCAAGGCGCTGGACGAAGCCAGCGGTACGCATACTTCACCAGCTCACCGCGAGGAGGCGGCGCGCGTCCAGCTTCTCAATGGACCAGCGATGGACCATTAGCATCACTCGACGGCGGAGAGTAGCAGACGCACCGCACGGGGCAGCGCGCAAGCAGAGCTCAAGCAGCAAGCAGCTCAACCCACCGACTCTAGACCATGGCTGGCAGGCTTGAGCCAAGAGCGGGAGCGTGCGCTGGTGAGGGGTCTGAACCAAAACGGCGACGGAAGAGGGGGAAGGGGAGCAACCCAGCGCGCGAAGGGAGCGCGTGTCTCCTTATGCCCAAGCCTCGCGCGCGCCGCTGGCCGAGCCACTCAGGAGGAGGAGGAGGAGGAGGAGGAAGAGGAGGAGGAGGAGGAGGAGGAGGAGGAGGAGGGGGAGGTCAGGGAAGAGGAGGAGGGAGAAGGGCGGAGATGGCTGGAGATTTGAAATGGGAGGCCTGCGCAGGGAGGGGGGGGGGGCGCTAGCGGGAGACGGCGGGCGGGCGGGCGGCGGCAGTGCTCCTGAGAGCAGCCTGCTGGCACTGGCCCTGCCCTCCGGCAGCCTCCTGGCGAAGGGCCCGCTCCTCGATTCGGCAGCGAGCAAGGGATGGAAGGAGAATGCCTTCTCAGAAGGCGCCGAGGATTCTACGAAATCCTCGCGCCCTCTGAGCAGTCCTCTGTGCCTGTCGGGGAGGCTCCGGAAACTGCTCAGAAGGCCGGGGGACTTCCGAGCTTTCGAAGAAGGCCCACCCCTTCTCACGACCCACCCAGGGTTCGCCGCCGATCGATGCCCTCGCCTTCGCCCCGACATCCGCGTCGCGAAAGAGGTCACGGCGATGGGGGGGCATGCAACGTTCGGACTCCGGGGGGCCTTCCCGGGCCCACGGACCGTGGGAAACCTGCTCTGGCTGAAAAACGGTCCCCGGCGCGGGCTCCAGGCCTGTGGCCTCTGGGGATCCACGTAGTGAGGAAGCACAACGTCGGACGTCTGGGAAGGCTGCAGGGCAATGCCTATGCGTCAGGGTCGTGTTGTGACGACCCGCACGTTGGTTTCTGACACCGCCTGGATCGTTCAGCCTTGCACGATCGCCAGTGTCCAACAGTGCGGATCGTTCAAATTGGCCGATTCTGGGACACTGGCAGCGTTCAGCCTTGGACGCCGCGCTGGGGTCTCCACCACGTCGACGCGACACGAGCCTACCGTAAGGGCACTGCCTGTACTACAGGCGCTCCCTCAGGACAGTGTCTCAGACATCCGCGCACTCTGAGGGGAGTGCCTCAGCCCCCTCCCTGATCCCTCCCCCCTCCGCGAGGATCGAGGATCAAAGGCTCTGAAGCTTTTGGGATCCCTTCCACTGCCTCAGGGGGCCTCCAGAGATCGCTGAAAATCCCCGGAGACATCCCCATCCATGGTCTTCCTCGCTCATCCCCTCTCCGTCCAAATCACCCTCGTTCCGCGCTTCGCCTACTCTCTCCTCGCCCCTCGCTCCCTCCTTCCCGAACCCCCCTTATCGTGGAAGATGTTTGCCTATGTTGGGTCCTTTGCTGTGCCTCGAGACCGTCACAGAACGACTCAGGCTGCAAAGCTGTTCCTGGGGAATCGGGTCTCCGCTTTGGAAAAAACACGGCGTCGACAGTCCGGTTCGCTGCCTCCCTCCTCGCTTCTTGAGAATCGGGGGGTCGGAGCTCGACGATCCAGGCTTTTCAAAGTTGCCATCCCGTTGTGGGGGGCTCTGGAAGCTTTCTGGAGGCGTCTCCGCCTCGCTCCGCCCTCCTCGCAGCTTGCTTCTTCCTCGTCTTACTCTCCTCGCTCCTCCTCGGTCCTCGCTGCTTCTAGCTCCTTCCTCTCTCCTTCATGTTCCTTCTGCTCCTCCCCCTTCACCTCCTCCTCGAAGCCTTGAAACTGCGGGTAGGTCTGGCAATGCCTTGAACCCAAGCTCCCTCCTCGTCATCCTCTCATTTCTTCCTGGCTCCCTCCTCGCTCCTCGCTCATCGTCCCTCCTCGTGGATCGAAGGCCGAGGTTCCAGGTTCGGAAAACAGGATGAGGATACCAGCGACGAGGATAAGCATTCAAAGCTGCATCCCCCGCAAATGTTGAAGCGACCTTCAATGCAACGGTGTGGGTCCAAAGTCCCCCAGTTGGGGGTGGGGGTCGATAAACTCAGAATCGTCCTCATCCTCCACCTCCTCTTTCTCCTCTTTCTTCTCCTCCTCCTCCTCCTCCTCCTCCTCCTCCTCCTCATCATCATCATCATCATCATCATCAACATAGCATTACCCGTCTGCACTAAACCAGCTGATGCAGCTGGCACTGGTGCCTGAAGTATTTACGGACCCACCCTGCCCAGCGAGAGTTCGTGGGAGCCTGTCAACCTCCAGCTGCTGAGAGCGAAGAGGGAAGCAACATGGAAAGCGGCACTGGAACCATCCCAGAGCAGTTCCCCCATTCCCTCACCACACTCCAGTGCCCACCACCTCCTTCATACCATCATCCTGCGTACTGTTCCTCATCTTCAAATCCCTCTTGCACCTCAACCTCGCCTCACCTCCTCATCCATCATCTCATCACCTCATTCATCCGTTTCCCCTCCCTCCTCCGCGTTCTCTTGTCCTCATCCTCCAAGCTACACGTCCGCCCATCCTCATCCGCCGTCCCATCCTTCTCATGCTCCTCCTCCTCCGACTCCCCCCTTGTCCTTTTTCTCATCACCCTTCTCGGCATCAAGCTGGTCGAAGAGACTCTTTTGTCCCTCCGCCTCGCGCGGCAGCGCAGGGCAGACCCCTCGGAGGCGGAGGCGTGGTGGAGCCTGCTGCCCAGCTGGCTGCTGCCCCGCGGCGCTGGGGGCAGGCCAAGCCATGGTCCAAGGCCAGGCGGGCCTCCAGGCGTCACCGCCTTGTCCACCAGGCGTCGGCGCTCCAGCTGGCGCCAGCCCTCTCCAAGGAGGCGTCGCTCCGCAACTGCACTGCACTCTGATCGCCTGGCTTGGGCTAGCTCTTCGGGCGAGCCCGCTGTGTGATTGGCTTGACAGTTCGCGGGAGGCCGAGGTCCTCCTCCGACGGCGTGACGGTGCTTCCCTGCGCGTCCCGGAGTGGAGGGCCTTCTGCACGTCAGCTATGAGAGGTTTAGGCCTCATCGCTCTCCGTCGGATCAAGGAGCGGCGCGTCGAGGGCGCACCCGTGGTCCAGCCAGGTGACGTCGACGGGCTCGGCCAAGCTGGCTCGGCAGCGGCGAAGCCATCTCAGACGAGCGGATGCAGATCTGGGACAAGCCCTCTCGGCCTTCCGATGTCCCCGCGGTCGAGCGGGACGCGCCGAGCTCCCTCGCTCTCATCACAGTGGGCCAGGTGCTCGAGGTGGCCAGGACCTTCCCTCGGCAGCGAACGAGGGGAGGAAATGATAAGGAGAAGGCCCTCTCAAGCGGCGGGGCTTCTTAGAAGCGCCCCGGCCTTCTGAGAAGGCCCGCACCTTCTCACTTCCCCCCAGGGCTCGCCGCCGATCCCAGAAGGTCACAGGCTTGCGCTGGGACAACTTCCACCCCAGGTGCCTGCTGCACCTCAGCCCTGAGCTGCTGCAGGCCTTCGTCCACTTGCTGAATGCATAGGAAGTGCTGCCGACGATGTCAGGCTTCTAGCTCGCATGTCTTCCTGCCGAAGCCCCCGCCACAGCGTGGCCGCCGTCCGATTGTGTTCCTCTGCATGTGAGGGCGCGTCTGGAGCCGCACCCGCAAGAAGGAGGTCAAGAGGTGGGAGCTGGAGTACGACCAACACTTCTTCTGGGCCAAGAGCTCGGACACAGCGGCAGACCGAGCGGCGCGCGTGCACAACTTTCTGACGGCGCAAGCGCGCAGGCGAATTATGATCGGTGACTCAATGTGTTCCGCTCTTACGCATTGTTACGAGGACGTTCCGCATGGGACTCTCTCTGAGTGTGCCAGTCACTACGGATTCCGTACCGCCCTTCTTCGCTCCGTTTGCTCCCTCTAGCGAAGTCCCCGCCGTGTCAGAGGGCTTGCGGCCACCTCGCGGGCCGCCTTGCCAAACGGGACGGTGGTGGCCGGGTGTTCCTGCACCACTGGGGCTGTGAAACTGCTCGCGCATTGCGGTTTGAAGGAGGTCGCCATCCAGGCTCGCGCGCGCCGTTCTGTGATTGTGATTGATGGCATCAAGCTGTATGCGATCGGCGGTGTCAGAACGGTGGCGGCCCAGCTTGTGCGGGCAGTCTTAAAAATCATAGGAGCTACGCGCGGCAGCTCGAACTCCCAAACCATTTGAGTAAGACGTGCTGGATGGTGTCGGGTAACGAGCTGCTGGAGGTTCTCCTGAGAAACCCTTCCTGGCCTCTCGGCTGGGAGCTGTTATCCTACGCCCATCGAGACTTGGGCGGAGACAAGGGCGACGGTACTCATCGCCGCTTGCCCTTCCAACACTGGAGAATAACCAACGCTCTCTCTTCCTCCGCCCGATTCCGAAACATCGGCCGCGGTCGCTGAAGTCCTCGGGTTTTCCGTGCGGGGCCAACCGCGAAGGCTGTGCGGGGAGCGGCTCTCCTTGTCGTCGTTGCGTGCTCTTTGGGTGGAGGCGGTTCGCAGCAGTGTCCCCCTCCGGCCAGGCTCGTCCAGTGCGCTGTGGAGCAGCGACCTGCTGGTGCACACGTCCGTATCATCGGTCTGGTGGCACAGGACGGTTTCGAAAGAGGTGCTGCTGGGTGACGTCGCAATTGCCGCCCTCCTCCTCACACACAATCGCGTAGAATGGGCTCTTGATGTGAGGCGAGGGGCCATCGCCGACCGTGAAGTCAGATGGCGGTCTCTCGATCATTTTTCGCCCAAGTTTCTGGAATTGCACTTTGAGCGGGAGTGCTGGGATGCGGGTATGGCCGACGAGCTCAGTCGTCAATCGTTCGCCGTTGAACGGTCGGTCCCCATCTGCTCCCGTCCCGCCCCTTGGTTCCTCAATATTGCAAACCTGGTCCAACCAGCGCTCGAATGTCCTGCGCGGGCGTCTGGCCAATCGCTACTGGTGCCAAGATCGCTTTTCGGCGAAGTGTGAAGATATCCGCCCTGATAGCCTCCGCCGTGGGGTTCGAGGCGCCTTGTTCAATCGTAATTGCGGCTGCCCTCGCTTAGCGGCCTGGCGACGCGATGAGATGTCGACGGGTGTCTCGACAGCCTCGGCGTTTGTACGCCGGGTTGGGGGCATAGCCCAGGTGGCTTTCGCTCGAGGCATTTTCCCCGACCCCTCCCCTTGGCTCCCTCATGGGGCTCCTGACCCCTCCTCTTGCAACCTTCCCGGGCTCAACTGGCCAGGACGGGCTGTATTTGGACCCTGGGCCTCATGTGTTCGGTGGCGGGTCGGCTTTTGAGGGCGCGATCCCATCGTTGGGTGTGGCGGGATGGTCGGCGGTGTTCGACGGAGACTGGGACGTGCTCAGTTCCTTCTGGGAATGGTGCCGCTCGACGAGACCCCCCTCCAATCGGCTAGGCACGGCGAAGTTTGTGCCGTCCTCCAGCTCACTCGCAGCGCTGTGCATTCCCAGGGGTACACATCGCAATAAGACTGTGCTGGCACGGCTTGCGCCTCTGACGTCCGCGCCGCGCCCAGGCTCCACACCCCTCGGGCCAACAGGCGAGCCCTAGCCCACGGCAAGCTTCACGGCGCTGCTGCCAAGAAAGTGCCAGCGCGCTGCAGCACTGCCGACGTCTTGGATGGTTTGCCCACTCGGGTTCAATGGCTTGGTAATCGCGCGGCGGCAAATGTGCTCGCTGTGGGGCCGAGTCGTATCGCTGTTCAGAGCAGGATCGTCTTACGGATCATGGGTGCCACGCAGTTGGGCGAGACAGGAGGCCTCCATTTCGGGCGAACGGTCTTGCCACCCTTTCCTCATCTCCTGGCTTTGGCGTGTTGGGCTGGGCGAACTTCCACCAAGGAGCGATGATGCTGACAGCTCGAGTCGTCCTCCCCAAGCGTGCGGCAATCCCTCGGGTGCTGGCAGCCCGGCTGCCCCCCCATCCGAGGGGGTAAGCCGATGCCTGGGCTGGCCTCGGGCCGTGGCACACCCGCGGTCACTCCTGCCTAGGAGCTCCCGTCGAGGGCCCTGGCGGGGCCACTGGCGAGCGCAATTGTCATCTGCACCACGCGTGGGCACGTCGGCCACCCAGGTGCGTTTGGGGGTCGGTGTGCTCTCGCGTCAGATTGCCGTGGGCCCCGTTCGAGCGCGCGGGAACGCCAGTTGCCTCGGATCTCGCGTGCCAAGCACTGATCTAAACGCAAAGAGCGAGTCGGCTCGGCGGCCTTACTGTCTCATTCTACCTGGAAGTTTCTAGCCGCCAAGTTTGGCCTTCCGGAGGTCTCCTTTGGGCCCCGCCCCTCCCCTCATCCCAGGTTGGTCCGATCTGTCCCGAGGCCTAACCCTTGTTTCTTACCCCTCTCGTGCCGAAGCTTCGCAACTTGGACGGCGGGTCCTGGAGAGGAGGAAGCGGGCTACGCTCGCCGACGGGTTCGACGAGGAGGAAGAGGTTCGATGTTTGTTAGTTGCGCGTGAACTGGTTGACCCGTTTGGTCAGTGCGGAGCTCCTCACGTGTTCCTTCTGCTCCACATACTCACCTTCTCCTTCCTCTTCGTCCTCCTTCTCCTCCCAGCGAACGCGATAGCCAAGTGGAACATCGCTAGATGCTCCGCACTGAGCAACCCCATCATCGTAGTTATCCGCTATCCCATGCTTTAGGCCACGAGGTTGGAATCCACATTCATCGAGAAACACCACAAGTCTGCTGGTGAAAGGAACAACTCGTGCCATAACTGACAGCAGCTGTAACTATCTTCTTCGTCCTCCTCGTCCTCCTCGTATTCCTCCTCCTTCTCCTCCTCCTCCTCCTCCTCCTCCAACTCCTCTCCCTCCTCCCTCTCCCGTCTTTCCGCCTCCAGAGGCCCCTCCTCCTTCTGTTTCCCGTTTCGCCACTCCTTCACGCCTCCTCCCTGCACTCTTCCACTGTGTCCTGTCCCCTGTTTCCTGTTTCCAAGAATTCCTCTTCTCCCTCCTCCCCGACTCCTTAGCCTCCCTCTTCATAGAACTACTCTTCACTCATACTCGTCCCCACCTCCTCCCTCTTCCTCCCACGCTCATCCTCCGGCCCGTGACGAGGGAGAAGACGACGAAAACAACAGCAATGACGACGACGAGAACTATGCCATCGACCACGGAGGGAAACGGAGTCTGGACCCCGGGATATGCCCCCAAGACCAACTTTTCTTGGGGGTCCCGATGCGGTGCGGTGACAGACCTTGCCGTGACTCAGGAACCCCCAGAGACCTCACCGCACGGTTCGTCACCGCATGGTCTTGTGACCTTGGAGGCCCCAACTGCCCGAGACGCCCTCGGACAACAACCCGAGTCCGCAAAAACGTGCGGCCACCTCGAAGCCCCACCGACTCTCCACACGCTGCGCTCACCGCACCGCTGGTGAGACCCCAATCTTCCTCCCGACTCGTTCTGTTGACAGCTCCGGGACCCAGGGTGTGGCCCAGGGAGCTCGAAAACAACGAACAAAACTCCAAGGCCAGCCTCTCTCAATACCCGCTTCCTCCATGACAAGAAATCGGAAACTGCTGACGACGACGACGACGACGAGAACAACGACGACGACGACGACGACGACGACGACGACGACGACGACGACGACGACGCCCCCCCCGGGCGGGGCTCCTCCTCGCGGCAAGGCGCGCGGGCCGGGCCTCCCCACCCCCTGGCCTCCGTTGGGGCGGCACGGATCCATCTCTGCCAAAGAGGGGCAGCTTGTGGCCGTCTCCCTCGCCGTCTTCGGTGTATTCGGCGACTTCGTCGAGGTCGTCTTCGTCGGCGGCATCGGCGCCGTCGTCTTCATCATCGTCTTCGGCGTCCTCTTCGGCGTCTTCGTCGTCGTGCTAGCCGGCGTCGTTCTCTGCAGCGCTCTCGCCATCGCCGTCGTCAGCGGCGTCGTCGCCAAAATTTCCTTGGCTGCTCAGCCTCCGTTCTCCCTAGAAGAAAGCAAGTCACGGAAGTGTTTGGTCGTCCCCATGAAGCCCCAATAGCGCTCCAAACCGCGCGCAAAGCAGACACAACGCATCTCCCTCACATGGCGCTGTTGGGAGCTATTGGGCGCGATCGCGCGCTTTTTGGGCTCTGCACGGCGCTACCGAGGGCTATTCGGCGCTATGTGGCACTACTTGTGCGCTATTCGCCGATATGCATTCGATCCAAGACGAGCGGGAGCATCCGTGGTTTGCCAAATAGCCCTCCGCCTAGGGCCATCCTCGAGGACGCCCGCAAGCTCGAGAAAGGAAGCTCAGACAAACATGGAATCGTGAGAACGTGACGAGGAGCAAAGCGAAGCCGTCACGATGATGAATGGACCTCTCGGCTGATAAGATCCCCACAGTGGCGACAGGCGACGTGGACACTGCTCCGAGTCCCAACGGCTAACCCTGCCCACTGGGTCGCCCTCCTCTTCGACACGTTCCGCACGGCGGGCCTGGGCATCTCCACGCTGGGCAACGGCTGGATCGTCTTGTGCGTGTGGGTTTCGGTTTTTACCAGCGTGACGCTCGCAATGAAGATCATCAGAGGTGTGGACGGGAACATTCGCATGCTGGAATGCCCCTGAGTAGTTTGGGCGCGCTGATCGAAGGAAGTGCGGGACTGGTTGGAGGAGCGGCTGATGCTTGCTCCCAGGAGCTATCGGCAAGCCCACTGAGAATGCGTGGAAAGACGGTTTTCCTGGCACGCCGAAAGCCAGGCCCCCAGGAGCCCGCTTTCTGACTGGGCGCTGGGCCAGAGGGTCATTCCGCCGGGCAGCGTTTCATCTTCGCGCCTGGTCCAGTCGGACCTGGGACAGATGAACATCCTCCAAGAACATGAGACCCTCCGCCGGCCAAAACACACAGAGCATCCAAGAGCACCCTCCCCAGGATGCACAAGAACATCAAACAATAATGAAGAACATTACGATACCCTCCCCGAACCGACCTGGATCTTATAACTCGGTCCGACTGTAGGTAAACCCCGTCCGTCAGCCTTGCATTTTTGACTGGGCAGAGCATGGATGACCAGAGGTTCTGCTAGATTGACAATTACTTGCGTCGCAGGCGAGCTGGGGTAATCATTCGGCCGACGCCAGTTTTGTCCACGAGATTGAGCTTGGGCCTTGAGCACGACCTCGCCTGCATCCCCCTCGCATCAGCCAAAATCGCGGTCCGTGCTGGTCCGAGATCGGGACGCTCGATGGCTCTTTCCCCAAACCGACTTTCTCGGCGAGACCGTGAAACATGCGTTGGATGTTCGGAGATCCACGTCGCACTCTACGCATAGTTCCATGAACTCGACGAGAAAATCAAGTCTGGTGTACATCAGTTCTGTGGTCAATCCCCTACTCGAGTGGAGGAGGTCCCAGACCTCCGACGCTGCGATGGCCTTTCCTACAACGTGGGCACCTGAAGGCCTCAGCCCGTATCCTCGGGAATTGCCTTTCATCATGAGCCGTTTTCTTGGACGGACCTGGGGCTCGGTAAGACCCCCTAGCGTCCCACACCTCCGACGCTGCGATTGCCTCCGGGGCCCAGCAAGGTCCCCTAGCCGCTAGGCCGAAAATGGTCCAAACGAATCCATCGTGCCGACGAGAAGCGGTCTGGGAGAGGGTGAGGGCGGAAGAGGATGAGGAGGACGGAACGTGAAAAGTTGGAGGAGGTGGAGGTGGAGAGATAGAGAGGGCTGACTGACAACCATGCCAGGGTCGCTAAACATGTCTGGAGAAGAAGGTCCGCCGGGCGTTGCCAGAGGGATGCCCGGCCCGAGGTGCTCCCAGGATTTCCAAGGAGGCCCCCCTGCGTCCACGGGCTCCAGCACGGATCGAAAGGCTGGGGACTGGGGAAAGCAAAACGTAACGATACCGCTACTCCCCGGATCTTTCCCAGGGTGCGTTCTGACCAGAATTTCGAGGCGAACCCATGCGTGGCGACGAGGGATTCCCAGGAGGTCCAAACAGGGGGAAAACGGGCGAAGTGCAGCGGTATGGGTCCCTGTTCCTCCTCTGAGGGACACGCTCGGCAGCACAACACTCCTCGGGGGCACCTCTTCGACCCAGCGGAGGAATGATCCGGACCTCCACCACCTTTGGTGCAGCCACGAGGGCCCGCTTCTCGGCCCTTGGAGGTCGGTTTCGCCGTGGGTGGTAAAAACAAATTGCACTACCGAGGACCCCCACATACATATCTTATGGTATGTGCGCACCAAGCAACGAGCAACTGCGACCTTTCTGTTAGGTATCCTGGCGCTCCGAGCCGGCTTGAGCCAAAGTGTTTGCAGATCTGGATGCTGCGCAAACCCCTGCTAATGCAACTGATGGAATGCAACGGCGAGACCTGCCCCCATACGCACCCCCCGTGAGGTTCGAGAAAAAGCTACGCCTGCCACGCCTTGCGACCCGGGGACGGATAGAGACCGCGGTGAGGAACCACCTCCTGCGCACCCCCTCTGGTGTCGAGAAAATGCCACGCCTGCCACGCCCCGTGACCTGGGGACGGTGTCGAGAAAGCCTGCCACGCCCCGCGACCTGGGCACGGATAGAGACCGCTGTGAGGGACCACCCCCTGCGCACCCCCTTTGGTGTCGAGAACGTGCCACGCCTGCCACGCCCCGCGACCCAGGGACGGATAGAGACCGCGGTGAGTGACCACCCCACGCACCCCGTCTGGTGTCGAGAAAGTGCCACGCCTGCCACGCCCCGCGACCCAGGGACTGCTAGAGACCGCGGTGAGGGACCACCCCCTGCGCACCCCCCTCTGGTGTCGACAAAGTGCCACGCCTGCCACGCCTTGCGAATCTTGCGCGCGTGTGCTGCGTGATGTGCGTGTCATGTGTATGATGCGTGTGCAGCTGTATCTGGACGTGTGTCTCCTGTGGGTGCCCAATATGTGTCATGTGTATGATGCGCGCGCGGTTGTATCGGGGCTTGTGTCTCACGTGGGTGCCCAGCATGTTGCGCATACGTCGTGGGTGTGTGATGCAGTGAACACGCCAGGCGTGCACTGGCGTTGTTAGTGTGTGTGTGTGTGTATGTGTGTGTGTGTGCGTGCGTGCGTGCGTGCGTGCGTGCGTGCGTGCGTGCGTGTGTGTGTGTGTGTGTGTATGTGTGTGTGCGAGTGTGTGCCTGCGTGCGGCTGAATGTAGACGCGTGTCTCATGTGCGTGACGTGCATGTGTTGCGCGTGTACGAGGCGAGAAAGGAAAAGGAGGTGAGGAGGGAGAAGGGAGAGAGGTGAGTGGGTGAGTAAGACGCGGGTGCGCCGTGGGTGGGAAGAAAACAGTAACCCCACTAAATATGTTGGGGAAACAACAGAAATCAAACACCGGTCCACGGAGAGGGGTCCAAACCTCGGAAAACGTGGGGATCCGACGTCACGAATCTCGGGAAGTCTGGAGATCCGACGTAACGAAAAGACTGCAGCATCGAGAAAGATCACGACCAGAGTCCTGGACCCCATATTTCTGCGTCGACTTTGCCGAGCAGGATCAACCTGTGACGGTGCCTGGATACGGGCGAACAACCTCAGTGCGAAAACAAAACTGCAACGCCCCGATCTCAAGGAAATCGGCACGCCTGATGTCAAGGAGCACGCCTCAGGTTCTGTTCGCAAGCGTTTTTTATTCTGGGCTTCGACATTTGGCCGAAGGACGGGGGAGAGGGCGGAGCCTGAGTCTTGGCCGGTGCTTAGTCGATCTGCTTTTACCAGTCGCGCAAGCAGACTGGGGGTGCGGGGGTCCTGACCAGTCGCCAGAAACCAGCCGCCAAAAGCAGCCAAGATCTGGTCTACGGAAGGGGGGGGCGGGGGCCCGCGCCGATCGGCAGAACAACAAATGAAAGAACAGCAACTGTGGACCTGCTCTGGCTTGTCATGCACTGCCCTGCCAGACCAAGCCGCGTGCGCCCGACATTGCGAGCCCCCGCCGCCGAGGGGCCGCTCGGGCCAGACAGCTGGAGAGAAAGCGATGCGGCACCACGCAGCAAGGCAAAACCACACCGGTTCCCTCCCCCCCTGCCTCCTCCTCCTCGTCCTCCCTCAGCGGTGCGTCGTGGCTGAGCACGCCCTCGAGGCGCCCAACTGATGTGCTGCTCGGGATAAGAGGTTGTGTCGCTCGCGTGCGATCGCCGCGCTCCAGTCCAAAGCAGGCCAGACCTCCGTCGCCTGTTGGTCCCGGGGCCCGGGAGCGGAGCCTGTAGGTCGAACAGGTGAAACAACCGCTGGTTGTGCTGTCCGGCGGCGAGCCCAGGGAGAAGAAGCGAGAAGGGGCGGGCCTTCTCAGAAGAATCGGAAGTCCCCCGGCCTTCTGTGATGTGTCCTCAGCCCTCTGCGAAGACATAAAAAACAACTTCTTCTGAGAAGCCCCGCCGCCTTCTGAGAAGGCCGTCTCCTTCTCGCTTCCCCCCCTCGCTCGACGCCGACAGGACGCAGACGCGTCGTCCTCGTCGGGCCTGTGGGCGGAACGTCCAGCGCGCACGCCGCATGCCCGTGTGCGGAAGCTGGCCCACGGGCAAGCTACAGGCCCAGGCCTGCGGCCCCTGCTCCCGGGGGCACGGTCCTGCACAGGGCGTTCCGGGAAGGGCCGCGGCTTCGGCGCACCCTCGCCGTCGCTGGGAGGTGGCGGAAGGCCGGCGGGAGCCTGCGGAGGTAAAACGGCGGCGGGCGCGCTGACAGACGGCCGGCGGAAGCCTGTTGAGGTAAGATGGCGGCGGGCGCGCCAACAGAAGGCCGCGGAAGCCGGCTTCGGCGCACCCTCGCCGAGTGGAAGCCCCGCTGGTTGGGATTACTGGGCTCCCGTCGCCGGAGGTCTCCGTCCCTGGCCCGTACGGCCGACCGGCCGGCCCTGGAGCGAGCGGTGGACCAGGAGCTTGAGGCGAGTCTGGCCGTGCAGCCGTGGGCCCCGAAAACCTGTGAACATCTGGAGGAAGGACGGTGCCCAAAGGTCCGCGGCGATCCCCAGAGACATTCAAATTTTCCCGAGCGACCAGACGTGGCAAAACAGCTGAGGAAAGCAGAAACACTCCATCAACATACATACATACATACATGCATACATACATACATACATACATACATACATACACAGACATACATACATACATACAGACAGACAGACAGGCAGACAGACAGACAGACAGACAGTCAGACAGACAGACAGACAGACATACAGACATACAGGCATACAGACATACACATACATAGACGTACAGACATACTCATACACACATACATACATACATACATACATACATACATACATACATACGTACATACATACATACATACATACATACATACATACACAGACATACATACATACATACAGACAGACAGACAGACAGGCAGACAGACAGACAGACAGACAGACAGACATACAGACATACAGGCATACAGACATACACAGACATAGACGTACAGACATACTCATACACACATACATACATACATACATACATACATACATACATACATACATACATACATACATACATACATACGTACGTACATACATACATACATACATACATACATACATACATACACATGCATACAACGACATATCTATATATATACATATACACATACACACATACATACACACATACATACATACATACATACATACATACATACATACATACATACATACATACATACATACATACATACATACATGAATGCATGCATACATACATGCATGCATACATACATACATACATGCATGCATGCATACATCCATACATACACACATATGTACATACATGCGTGTATACATACATACACACACATACATGCATACATGCATACATACGTACATACATACGTACATACATGCATGCATACATACATACACACATACATACATGCATACATACATACATGCGTACATACATGCATACATACATACGACGATTCTCGCACTTCCGCCGGCGCAGCCGCACTCGCCTGACGTCCGCCGGCCTCCGCCGCTAATCCCTGCAGCCCCCCTCTGTCAGGGGCGAGGCCCCCCTCTCCGGAGCGCCCCGCGTGCCTGCAGACCAGAGGCCGGAACCGCCGAGGATCCTCAGGACGCGTGTGCGCGCTGTGCGCGCGCTTGTCCACTGCAGCCCTCCATTGCGACGCGGGCGGCGAGGCGAGGGCCGGCGCATGCCGAGTGGGGCAAATGCAAGCACACTTCTTGACGTCGCGGCCACGCGCCCGGCGGCGCGCGGCGCAGGTCAAGCCGCGGGCCAGACCAGCTCACGCAGCGTGAAGGAGCTTGATCACACCCATCGGGGATCGGCAGCAGCACTCGCGAGGGGGCAGTCGCGAGGGGAGAGAGGCGAGGAAGAACGGGGGAAAGAAGGGAAGAGGGGGGGGCCAGGGCCGAGGAGGCCCAGTGCGACAGCACAGCCGAGGCAACAAGCGAGGCGCAGAGGTAGGCGGCAACGGAAGCGGATGAGGATCGAGAGACAAGAAATAGTGAGGACAGCCGGGCCAGGCAGAAGCTCCTGGGTGAAACAGGAAGAGAGATAGGGAACACCCGAAACACAAACACACACACACACTCACACACAGTAACACTGGGATAGCACACCTCCTGAAGATCATCGAACGAGATGAACCCTTCTGGCATTGCCAGACAAGGGCAGATTTTGACGCCCGAAGTGAGTTCGGAAGATATAGGTACGAGGCCCAACAACAAATGTTCTTCAAAAGCGACAGCGGCCGCTGTTGGGCAGGCGGCCATATCTCTAAAATGGACAAGGCCCACGGCGGCACCGACAACGAATCCCGCTCAAATGATCTAGGAATGCTGCCAGTGTGTGTACCCATTCTTCCATACCCATGTCGATCGTCCCGATCGGGACTGGTGATCGGGGAGCGCGGCCCCCGGCAGCAAGGACCTGCATGTTGAAGGACAGCGTCGGCAGGTAGGCTGCAAGGGAGGCGATGACGAGGCAGGTCCAGCCGACCTGCTTGCGCCCTGAGGCTCTCGTGGCCCCCCCGTGGCCCTCCCCTGCGACACTGCGACACGATGGGTCCAACAGCCATGCTCTAGAAAGGCGCACAACCGAGGACTAGGGCACAGGCGAACGCAGCAGAGAGACAGCGGGAGAGCCACCTCTGCCCCTCCTCCTCCTCCCCCCTGCTCCTGTTCCCCCCCCTCCCCCTCCTCCTCCTCCTCCTCCTCCTCCTCCTCCTCCTCCTCCTCCTCCTCCTCCTTCCTCTCCTTTCTCTCCCTGGCCCTGCCCTTCCTCCTCCTCCTCCTCCTCCTCCTCCTCCTCCTCCTCCTTCTCCTCCTCCTCCTCCTGCTCCTCGGAGGGAGCAAGAATAATGTCAACGACACGCCTCCGTGGGGAACCTCATACTGCGGAAGAGGCACCAGGTCTTCGCACAGAACAGCCACGGCGTAGAAAGCTGACGGGCTCACAGCGGCGGCGTGTCATTGATACAGCTAGCCCCTCCCGGCTATCCTCTCCTGCCCCCACCCTGGCTCGCTCCTTGCTTCCTCCTCGTTCCAGCTCGCCGCGCAGCTCCACGCCCCCAGCGGCGGAGAGGGGCGGAGCGGGCATCGGGAGGCGGTGCCTAATTATGTTTGCTTGCCTCCTTGGGGCCAAGGTTTTCTCCTCCACCTCCTCCTCCTCCTTTCACCGCCTCCTCCTCCTCCTCCTCGTCTCCTCCTCCTCCTCCTCCTCCTCCTCCTCCTCCTCCTCTCCGTTCACCTCCTCCTCCTCCTCCTCCTCCCACCGCCTCTCTGCTGCTGTCATGCTCAGAGACCTCCTTCGTCTCCTCCTCTTCCTCTTCCTCCTCCTCACCCTTCTCACCCCCCCCCCGTCCCTCCCTCTTCACCCTAGTCTTCCCCCCTTCTCCTCTTACTCTCCACCTTCTCCTCCTCCTCCTCCTCCTTTCACCTCCTCCTCCTCCTCCTCCTCCTCCTCCTCCTCCTCCTCCTCCTCCTCCTCATCTTACTTCTCCTCCTTCTCCTCCTCCTCCTCCTCCTCCTCCTCCTATTCCTCCTCCTGCTCTTCCTCCTCCTCCCCAGAGCTCCGACGTCGTGATGTATGGCTCCACGTGTACCTCCTGGGCTATGTGTCTTCTCCCCAGTATTTGACATTTCACGACGCGAGGACATATGGCTGCCCTGCTTCCCCTCCTCCTCCTCCTCCTCCTTCTCCTCCTCCTCCCCAACCTCCTTCTCCTCCTGCTGCTCCTCCCCAACCTCCTCCTCCTCCCCAACCTCCTCCTCCTCCCCAACCTCACTGCTGCTGACGAGGCTGAGCTCGTCCTCCTGTGGCTTCACGCAGGTCCCTGCACACCGCGCTGGGTTCAGGGAGGATCTCGCGTTTATCCGAAACTTGATCGGATCTGCCTCAGACGCGCCTCATCGATCCAGGGCGTTCCCGGGATGCCCGGCTCGTGCCGAGCGGCAACCCGAGGCGTAAGCTAAAGCCAACTGGAGGGGGGGGGCGCGAGGTTCGAGGGAGCGCGGCCAGAGCTCGGCGAGAACGGAAGCCCTTGGCATGCTCGTCCTCCTCGAGCCTGGGCCGGCATGATGCTCCAGGGCTGCGTCCAGCCTACTCCGACGCCGATTCTCCTCGTCCTCCTCCTCGGCACGTGGAGGTCGATATCCAGGGGGGATGCCGATTGGGGAGGATGGCGAGGGGATAAAGGGGCGGATGACGGGTGGGATGACGGCGAAGAGGAGGAGGATGAGGAGGAGAAGGAGGACGAGGAGCAGGAGGAGGAGGAGGAGCACGAGTAGGGGGAGGAGGAGGAGGAGGAGGAGGAGGAGGAGGAGGAGGAGGAGGAGGAAGAGTGGAGTAGGGGAGGAATCACAAGATAGAGGAGCAGGACAGGGGTGACGAAGAAGAGAATAATGATAAGAAGGAGGAACAGACTGCAGAGAGGGACGGAGTTGGAGGAAGAGGT